GGGGGTGGAAGGGCGTCCACTCGCAGGTGGGGTACGCCGGGGGGTTGGCTGTGTTGTTCGCCTGCGCTCCCCCGATGCAAGAATACAGCTGCACCGGTTGGTAGTACGAGAGTAAATAGGGCGTGTTGGGCACTCGGCAAGAACAGTAGCCCCCGGAAATGCTCGCGCAGGGGGTGGAGGCGTTCCAGCAGGAGTAGCGCCGGAAGGCGACTAAGTCGACCCCCCCGGGGTTGGAGATGCTCGAGTGCCACGCGATGCCGATGTCGGTCTGGTTGCTGAACCAAAGGGAGCCTATCAGCTGGCCGTAGTTGCCGTTGACTTGGTCCCGGCTGAACGGTCCGTATTTGGCGTTCATGCGCCATTGGGAGTCCGTATCCGTGTTGTACTGCGCGGACGCCAAGAAAGAGGCGTCAATCGCGCTTGCCAGGAGTCGGTGAAAGATTGGGTTTGGCGCAAATGACTCTGAAAGAATGGGCGGGTAGTACTATGTTTGTGCCGCATGAAAACCGCAGCTGCTGCTAAGCCCTTCTCGGCGCTTAAGGTTGGTATTTGTACGTTTTCAAAGGACGCGCATCAGCTCGTCGTGTGAATGAAACAGCTGTGGCGGATTGACACACAAACGTCTGAAGCCGAGGTCTTCGGTCAAAAGGTTACCGCGGTCGCGAGGCCTGGGGACAAACGCACCGACACCGTTGCGCTTCAGCTAATACAAACAGCTGCAAAAGACGGGGAAGCATCCTTTCGCTGCATTGGCAGAACAAGTTAGAAAGCCCCTAAATACCTTCGAGAAGGTAATGGTAATTCGAAGCTTACGATGCGGCTGTACGGCACCAGGTAAGTCGTATTCAGCTGCTGCGAGGTGCCCATGTACACTTGCTGGGTCGCGGGGTCGAGTCCAAAGCCATTTATCTTATCCGTCACGCCGGTGAGCTGCCATGAGGCCGTCACGCTTGAGTAGTCGCGCCTGCAGAGGAGCGGACACGTGTCACCTTAGCAGCAGGCGCGGGACCGACTCGCAATCAGGTACTTCTCGGTTAGTGAAAGCAAACCCAGTTACGAACCAGCAAAGTGAACTCTACGCAAACTCAATCTGAAACCGTCTACTTGATTGAAACGTGAGCACGTGCTCCGCACCCGCAACCCCTAACCCGCTAACTAACCGCACCCGTTTGTTGCTCTTTGCATCGAGCGGAACACTTATGTTGAATCGATCGGGCGCCCTGGAAGCAGATCAAGTCCCGCTGCCAGCTTTAAGATATGTTGCCTTGCAGACAGCCCACTTGAAAATGGATTCCGCACCGCGGGCCTTTCTGAGGATTCCCTTCGTTTCGCTCCCCTCGCAGGGCCGCAGATGTTGCCACTTTGAGTTTACAAAATCGAGCGACCGCACTCTGTTCTTGAATTCGGAGGGCAGGCAAATGTTTGACTTCTCGTATATTAAAGCAAAGCTCGGGACGGCGGTTGCCTGCTCGCGCGTGTAATCCCTGCCGCCGCCCGCCTCATCTCGCAATTCGATTCATTTGACCATTGGCTCTGGTTCGATTCGTGGTCGATAACTTGATGGGTTGATCAGACTTTGCCAAACTCAGGAATCCTTTCCGTTAAACCTGGATGGTTATGAGCTGCTCAATTCAGGAGTTTACGGTTAACCCTGGATGGTTATGAGAAAGCTGAAAATGGGTTATTTGTCCCGTAACCAGACTTGGGTGGTAACCACCCTTGGAGCATAAATTAACACTGGTAGCTCCGATAACCTGAAAATCAAGTCTAGTAAGCAGCCTGGTTAGCAGCCAAAAGCCCCTGTTAAACTTACCGCATCAGCCAGCCTAACGATTTCATACCGCCGGCGCTTATGGTGAAGCTGGTAGTGTCGGTGTGACGCCCCGTCCAGTAGACGCTGGAATTGGGAATTACGCCCACTTGGAAGCGGTAGTAATAGGCCTTATTCAAGTTGCTAAAATATGAGGGGGTGGTCCAAGCACTGCTCAGGTGAATATTGTCTAGGTTCACCTTTGTCGACACCTGTACAGGAATCGGATGGTGAGTTAAATGGTGGGTTCCAGAAACCGACAGGCTGCGAAGTCTTAGTAAGCTTGACTGTGTAGACTTCATACTGAAGCAGGTCCGTTGCCGGAGCGCGACCAGTGCACTGAAACGCAGCAATCAGGTGAGAGAAATGTTTGAACATTAGTTGAGACCGTCTCTTCTTCAAATGACGGACTGCAGCTTAATCAGAAGGGAAGAACGCCCTTGTTTTCAACATCGTGACGTTTGCTGAAACTCTCGCAATGAGAACAGCCTGAAAAGAATTTGCCGCTTCACAAGACGACCTGAGGGCAGGATCCGCATCAAAATGGAGTCAAAGGAATCAAGCAAAGCTACTCTTCCGGGGGGGTCCCCCACGGGGAGACCTTACCCCCATGTTCCACGTGCTGGACGACGCCTGGTACTGCTGCCCGACAAAGTGGCCCCACCGGTTGGTGACGTCAAGCCCGGCGCCGGTCCAATCCAACCCCTGCAGCCCGTTCGTACCGGGCGTCATGCCCACTACGGTTGTGCCCGGGGTCGTGCTTAGTGACGTCACGTCTAGCAGAATGATGGGGGCGCCCTTGACGGCGGTGATGAGCCGCTTCTTCACCGAGTCGTAGTCGAGCGAGCGCGGCGCGCCCGCGCCGGTGCCCGCGAAAGTCCCGGACGTGTGCGTCATCGTCGTGATGCGGACGGGGCTGACTGTGATGAGGAAAGGTGGGCAATGAGGAGCGGTGGTTAAGCGTGCACTGATCGACTACGCTTTGCATTCTCGACAAATACACACGGAATAAGTTCCACCGTAAACAGTAGGCTTCCATCGGGGAAGTTGATTTGCATAGGTTCTGCTTGCCGCAGTGCGGAAAAGGTGAGTACTTTACAAGGTTGTGCACAAGACTCCACTCTCAGGCTCAGGGACCACATCAACACTGTAGAAGCAGCTACTATGGGGGCGTAAGCTCTTCTCGTTTACTGCCCTTGCAAAGCACACGACTGCTTTGCAGAAAGCCGCTTCACAGAACCATGTGGCGCTCAAAAAGGTAGGAAAAACAGCACGGCAATCGACTGCTGGGATTGATGCGCTCTTGTCTGTCCTACCGATGTGTCGGTACTGACTTCGCAAAGGGTAAAGTGCAAGCCTCCTCTGCTCACCTGTGTACTCAATGGCATACCAAATCGGCTTGGAACTTGAGCCGCCTGTTTCGCTCGGCGCAAAGAGGATGCCCCGAGACGTGTCCAGAGCCAAGGGAATCAGCATGAGGTTCCCGTTGGCATAGTTCAGCGTTTGCAGCTTCTTCTGGGGGCACAGGAACGTGGGCAGGTAACTCCCGTCCAGTGACAGCGGGAACATGTACACCTGTTCCATGCATATAAAGTCAATGTCGGACAGCTGTCACAGCTTCAAAGACAGGTGTCGGCCACTTTCGCAAACATGCTGCTTACGACTCTGGTTGAAGATCTTGTACTACGCCCCTTTTTGAAGTTCTTGCAACCGGACGTGTTTGAATCCAACTCAGAGGCGCTGCTTTGCAAGGTGTTTGCAAGCGGTCCAATGACTCAGCAAGACATTGTTTGAAAGGCTGCAGATGTCTTTGGAGTCGACAACCACCCGTCAGATCACACGTGTCCTCACCCCGTTGTTCCACGTGGTGAACATGAGGCGGCGTCCCTCATCCACGTAGAACTCCCCCAGTGAGTCGTCCTTTGCGAAGGGCACCGACATTCTCGACAAAATAAAGGTGTTCCCCATTCCTGCTCCAGGCTGGTAGTCACACATGGGCTGCCCCGAAACGCCCCCCTCCGCTTGCCTTACAAAGAGAAGGCCGACCAACCCGATCGCTGCAATGAGGCTGTGCCACGTGGCACTTGGAGGGACGGCGCCATGCTTGCGACGTTCCATGATGATCATCCCTGCAGTGCAACAGAAGTGCTGTAGATGGAGTCACAAGACGCCCTCTGACTCACAAAGGAACGTAAGTAGCCGAGTGCTTTCAGGTCTGAGGAATGACCGTGATGCAATGTGATGTATAATAACGGCCAGAGTGGCCATTCCAGTGTCTCCAGGTACCTGCAATCCTGTTTGGCCGTACTCGCCCACCTTGGTGTTCATGACAAATGTTGTCTTGGGTTTGAGAGGTCTCGTTCTGCAGCCCTGGCCAAAAGCGCGTATCGACTGAGCACACGCACAAAACCTTTACGGTTTGCAGATCAGTGCGCAATCGCTGTCTTCAGATACGGAGTCAAAAGAGAGAGAATTTCGAGTAGGCAGGAAAAATGAAACTTACCCTGATCAGCGCAGGCCCTACACGCATTCTTTCGAGCGGAGGACGTACTCTTTTAAACCAGCCTGGACAACTCTTACATGGAGAAGTCCGCCTTTGCTTGCGCTCCTCTCATGGTGTGTGGTGTTTCAGATTGTGATTACTGATTCCCAACTACTGATGCCTAATCCCTGATCCCTGATCCCTGATCCCTGATTTCTGATCCCTGATCTCTGATCGGTGTTTCCTGACGCCCTTCCTTCTTCAGCACGCTTATCCTGTTTCACTTTAACAGCACGACAAAATTGTGATAAGGCACTCATTGCAGGCACCGGTTTCCAACGTGTTTCATTTCTCTTACAGAGCTGATCATTGTGCTTCGTTTCGGCCCATCGCCAGAGCCAGTAGAAGTTCCAATACGCATGCAGACAATCATTGGTTGCCTCCCGCGCTTCTAAATCTCTTGCCTAGCTGGGCGCACATGGGATGACGTGCGCAGGTCATCAATTAAAGCTCTCCAGGCCAGCTGCGTCGGAGTCTTTTACTCTGAAAGTCTACTGGGTTACTCTGTTTCCTGTAAGATAAACTCAGACCGGATTCATTGATGCTATTCCTGGCACGTTGCTAAAAAATTCCAGAATTTTAACGGTATATTACAACTTCGACCCTTCTGCAAAATACCTAACACAAGGCCCTCAAAGCCTTGGCTGTTTAGCAGCCTGTCTTTCAGTGTCACAGCACTAGCGAGCTGCATCGCCGCGGTATGTTTCGAAATCTTTTGCACCTGTACGGTCCTCTCCCAGTCCGACTTTCCTCCGGTCAGTCGATTGAAGCCGCTGACGGTATCCGATTCAGTCGGCTTGTCTCCCGGTTCAGACGCCCGACCACCTCATCAAGGACAACCACATTAAACGTTTGCTGTGCAACAGGGTGTTGGCATTTCCGCTGAGGCCCCTCGGCTAAGTCGGCCGGGTGGCAAACTTGTCGGCCGCCGTGAGGGTGACGGTTTCGCTCTTGTCGAACACCGGTCGGCGCCGGGCAGTCGGCTTGCAGGGAGAAGGTGAATCGGCGGAGCCGTACAGAGCTTGTCGGCGGCCGTCACGAAGTTGTAAACTTGGCAGCGTGTTCAGATGTACCTAACTAGCAAGTACGTAGGTCGTGCCTCCGCTCTGTGCATGCGTGGTTTAGCCTTTGCAGGATGTCCGATGTCGGATGAAAGTGGTCAGCCGGCCTCGACTCGGACCTTCCTGTCAGACGCGCGCACACTTACTTGACGGCTAGATGAGGCCTGTCTGCAAACAGGATTGCGGAAAGGCCGTTGGATACACTGTGTAGTATGTACGGTCTGTGTAGGGTATGCGCAGCTCTTCATGTATGGTACCCGAATTTCAGCCGACATTCGTTCGTACGGCGTACGGATCATGCATATACCTACAACTCAGGCAAGTTGCAAGTTGTGAGAATCCACAGATTGTAACCGATGGAATATATGGGCGACCTAGCGTTACTGCAATTTCTCGGCATGCCAAGAAACTTATTGACACCGTGGCAACTTTGTGGCTGATCGAAGTCTAAGTGGGAAAACGGTTGGCACATCTCGCTCTAGCTTTCAGCTAGCAAACCTCAACCTGCAGAATGCAAAACCTGGATCGAGGTGCTCATTGCTGTGAATGGGCAAACAGCATGCAAAGCCAGTAAGAGGAACTTTTAGGTCTTTAGGATTCAACAATTATTGGTAGATGATGGTATTCGTGCGCCTTGGAGGACGATCAACGGAGAATGGCAAATGCAGATCGAACGTATAATCAGCTTGAGCAATGCATCGAAAGAGCTTCAATGAGTTGGAGGCAGACAACGAGCTTGGCGCGTCATCAGCTTCCTTGAAGGCTGCTGTAGCCTGTTGAGAATTTTCAGAGCCGAGTGGCTGGCGGAATGCGAAACGTGTACGATGGACAGAGTGTTATTCATTCTCCTTTCTATTATCCTAGTTGCAGCGGCGCAATTTGCGAAAGCAGCTCAATCGAGCAACAGCACACCCCCTCCAGCTCTTTTCTCCGTCCCTAGTTCTTATTCCTTTCTCAGCTCAATCAGCACCACCAGCTTCAGTCTGAGCTCCTTCCCAATTGACTGGACCACCGTTGCTCAAGTCCCCAGCTTGAATGCAATTGAAGTGACAGTAGCAGGCACATGTGGGTGTGATCTGACGCTCAACGGGTGTGACGTCAACTGCTGCTGCGATGCAGAGTGCGACCAGAGTGCAAAGGCGCTGTTTTCGGAGTGCGCACCGGAGGGGCCGCCGGCGCCCTCGCTGGACTATTGTGTGCCCAAGTCGCAAGTGGCCAAGGTTGGTGTCTCAAATTTGGGTGGTGTCAACTTTACCATCATTGTGAGGGTCGAAGTCCCTGAGCACTATCTTTCCTTCAAGAGGGAAGTCTCTTTTGCAAGCTATTTGGACACTAGGTGGCTCACTATGAACTGTTTGAATGGACATGAGATTATGCTGCAGTTTTTGAGCTGGAAATTTCAATGGTGGTGGTCACGTTTGCCTACTCGAGAACTATTCTGGCATTGCCCAAGGATTTGAGTTGAGTCTTACCATGTAAATGTGCTGTGCACCCGTTATGGGGCTGACAGGTTACCGCTACAGGGGCAATACGTGCCCCATTAATGTATCAGCCACTCTTGAGCTCCCAATATCCAAAGGCAGTATTGCTTAATGATCATGGCTGGTGTTGATAACTGTGCTAGCAAAAACCAGCTTGTCCTTTGTACCGCAGGCTACAATCTGGTTGGTGTGAAACCACGGACAGCTAACACTCACTGGCTAACACCCAATGTTATCTCAGCTATGCTTCTGCTGTGGGTGTCAAAAGGATGGGCCTCTGTCTGCTCCTGCCTGACTAACATCATCCGCCGCATGCTCCAACCGTTCTCTAAAGTGAAGAGCGTACTCCTCAGGTGAACCTTCACCAAAGCAGCAGCCTGGCGGTTGTTGAAAAGACGGCCCCAGACGACGGGTTTCTGAGCAAGCAGTTGTGCATCGCCCACGAAAACAACGCCCAGCTGGGGCAGTTCTTCTCCGACCCTGCGCCGGCCGTGGAAACCGATCTTGCCACAGCAGCTTCCCAGTACAGCGACTTTACCTTTGGGAAGACGGTTCCGGTCGTGGCAGGCTCTGCAACGAACGTTTATAGGGTGAGCACTTACAAATGAAAAGTAAAGAAACCATAAGCCTGGGCGAGTCTGGGATCTGCCCCTTTGCATCAAATGCCCACTGCCTTTGCCAGAACTTTAGCAAATGTAAGGTTTATGGGAAGGAAACAACGGTGAAGCGCGTCTTGCATGCTCCAGAGCTAAGCAAACATAGCTTGCCACTGAAGGGCATGGCTGTTTTTTTGAATATAAAGCTCAAGGAAGGTACGCATGCAGCAGATCTGGGACGTGTGCAACATCTGAGGTACTTGAGACCTTGTACATCCATACATACGCCCAAAGTCCTCTTCCAAGCTTGTCCCCTAAGCCTGTCGAAAAGAACATTTTCAAAAGCTGGCCTTGAAGCACGTTGCATAAAGCACAGACTCACAAAGAACCCAGCCATTCGAATGTTTGAGTGACTTCAATGTCTTCCGCAGGTTGGCGACTTGTTGCCTGCAGCTTACTCCCTGGGGGGGAATTCGGTGCTGGTGGCCGCGGGGGCGGGTGCGCAGTTTGCGCTCCCCGCCCCAGTCCTGAGTGCCGCCTGCGAAGGGCTGCAGCTGGTTGGTGAGCTTATCACTGCGAACTCAAAGCAGTTGCTCTTGCAGATACTTTGACATTGAAAGTTGGGGAAAAAAGTCAGATCAAAAGCCAGCCTTGGCAAGTTTAAAAGGGCTTTGCATGGGCGGGTAATACAGTTAGTTGCGCCGGGCGACAATCCTCCGCTTTGCTTACAAGGGCATTGTGCACTCAAGGACGTTTTCCTGTTGCTCCTCTGGCGGAACAGACAGGTTCCGTTAGGAAACACTCAGATTAAACAGCATGGTGCTACGAACTCTGACCAAGGTTCAGTACCCCAATATACTAAAAGTTTGGCTGGATTCTTTCTTGTCACGTAGGACCGTTATACGTAAGCTTGCAGCTGTCTCTCAGAATACCGAGAAACGTCAAACCGAAAAACTTGGCACAGACTTATGTTGGGCGTTGTTTCTTCCCGAGCAGGTTTCCTGACCGACGTACCGGAGACAGCATGCCAGCGCTACAGTCAGACGCTCGCGCAGGATTGCGAAGCCACGTTCGGAGCCGACCGCTTTACCGACTGGCTGCGGATCGGACGGGTACGGGATTCTGCTACTGATTTTGCATCTTTTTAAACTTTCTGCGGGTTTCGTAGTACTGAGCAACCCTCTGTTCCCCTGGCATGACCATTCTGGTTCTTGCCTCGTATAGCCTGTACACAAACGTCGTCAGGGACCCTTTTGCTGTTGCTCCGAAGTTGTACTGTAGCAGTCCTACCGTTTCCCGACCCAAACCTTACGGACGGCTTTACTGATCAGCGGTTACCAAATCATGGCACGTTGGCGGCGGAAGTTGTTCTGTCTCACAGCGAGGAACTCGTTCCCGTGTCCTGATTGTCTTATCTCGCCTTCGGCACTCGCTGCGATTGCCGACTTCTATGCTAGAACCTCGTTCGAGCACAATGCATCCACGCCACTCCTCGATATTTCGCTGCGAGCTTTTCCAGCGCTACTACGAGAGAAGACAGATTCCATATTCAAATGCGATCTGACATTCTGCCACGTGTCCATTTACCAGACTGGAGCAGCCGTTCAGTCGCAGCCCAGTGCCTACGTCAGCGTCGCAACCGGAATAGTCCGCTTTGCCGATCCAGACACCGGAGCGCTGACGTCACTGGGGACGGCTTCGCCGACCGCTTATGACATGGCATCCGGCACGTGCCAGAATGGTTTGAGCAAGGTGAGGGCTGCGACAACTAGTGCATATTGTTGGAGCTAATTGGAGCTGCGAACTCACGTTTTTGGGCTTGAGAGACATGTTCGCCGGCTAATAGCCAGACCCGTTCAAACCTTTTCCGAGGCGCAGCGGGGTTCTTCTTGCAAACATGTGCCTGTGCAAACCGTTTACCTCCATCTTACTTTTATCTTTGCGTCATCCCCTTTCGTTCGTCACGTCTAGGTCCTGTCAGTCCTGCGCTTCTAAGCCGCTTTGCGCACACACCGCTGTCAAACCCGCAGGCGAGCGCCTTCTCTAACCCCTGCCTCCTTGTCGCCTTTCAGGTAGCTTACACGATAGCGTATGACGGCAGCGGTTCGATCGTGTCCGTCAACGCTGACCTGGTGTTCACTAACACCACGGCCGACGCATCGACTGGGCTGGCGACTCTCCAGCAGACGTTTAGTGTCAGTTGGGTTAGGCAAGGGACGCAGACCAAGGTGCGGCCAAAGTCGGGGAACCCTGGTTACTTAGACGGTGAGCCCCACGGCTGTAAACCTGAATTTTGGAAGTGCAGCTGCTGCCGAGCTCCTTTTTGCATGAAACGATCTGCGTGGAAACGCGTCGAAGTCCCGAGAATCAACCACGGAGACACGCGTTTCCTCACTCTTTGATGCTTCCTCGCAAGCAGGGTCGAAGGTAGAATATTCGCAAGTTAGGACACGACAAATGGTGCCTCTGACAAAGTTACTCGAGACGTATTCGTATGCCCTTTACGCAAGTCAAGTGTTCGAGAATCTCTGAGCCTGGGTGCAGGACTTCCATATCCATCACGCCACGGCGCAAGCGAAACATTACCCGTACCACACATGATCTTTCATGGAAGGTTCAACGGACTTTTGACAAACTAACATGGTAGACCGCCCAGGAGGGCGGCGGGGGCTTGCCTCTCTGTGGTGCTACTGGGCAGAATTTTAAAATTGCATTGTGTGGCGTAAAACAATTTAAATGGATTAATTCACAAAGGTCGTGCGCTTGCGCGCGCACACGCTAAACTTAGTCCGTACACCACCTTGCGGTATGCACCCGCGGTGGTTGGGCAGTGCGTACCAGGTTAGCCGGCACTGTTCTTTCCGGGCACCTTGATCAGTTGTGAAATTCCTTCCCGTACAATACTGACGAAGTCCATCGCAGATAAGGGTGATTTGATTTTTAATTCGGCGTTATAAGCCCGGGGTACTGCACAGTGTCAAGTGCTCGGCAGTGGTGTAAACCACAACGTGGCCGCTATTTCGACCTTGGCATGCAACGTGGCGGCTTTAGAGTAGGCCTGTTCGGAGAAATCGAGGTCAAACGTTACATCGTTACGGTATCTCGCGGCGGCAATTTCGCGTCCGCAAACGATGCGTAGCACTAAATCTGCGCCGCCGCGCGGGGCAGTCTGGGCTTGGACGAAAACATGGTCTGGGACATTTGGGGGATTTTGCGTACGTTTTCGCATCGAACTTCGGTCAAGCGGAAACGGGACCAGACTGGGCGTTGCTATCTTCCGCAGAGCCACGTCGTACAGCGTCGCCCGAAGCGCGGTTTCATAGAATGCAAAAGCTTTCTATTTTACTTCGTAAAAGAGAGGCAAGCCAATATCGAGGCCGACCTGCTCTCTTGCACATACTGCAGGGTTCCCTGTGTTGGCGGGTCAGATCGCGAAGTCATCGGACGGCTCCAAGCAGGCGATCTCTCAGTACACGGACGGCCTTCCGATCCCGGCCGCCGGCCCGGACGGCCTCTGCGGCCCGAGCCACGTCAGCCACGTGGTGTTTGGAGCGGACTCGCTGACGTCATGCGGGTGAGCAAAGCTCTGAAGCTGATAGTATCTTCTGTCGGTCAACTTTCTGGCCTTATGACAACGTTGTAGGCCGAGGTAAAGTAACCTCTGGTTGCACCGCTTAGCGTAGAGCCCTACCTTGACGCTTCGTATCTCAGAACTTGATCTTGTAAACGCGTGCAAGGGTTACTTTCGGTGCACCCTTGTAGCTGATCAAAGGGGTCAATTGGTGCCAAACAGGACGAGGACCGGGTAAGTAGGTTCGCAAATAGCTTGGAAGCAGTGCTAGAAGCGAGAGCTCGTAGAGGGTGTCGGTTGTACAACAGGTCGAAAGGAGCATCGCGCTTTCGTCTTCGCAGCCTAGATACCACGGAAGCTATAAACGCACCGTTTCCCTTACTTCCACATATTCAAAGCATTCGTTTCGATGCTCAACGCTCCATGCAAGTGAAATACTTTTAAGCGACCCGTTTCCGTTATTACAGCGTTCCGCTGACGCAAGCGCAGCTCGCCGCTTTCTGCCAATCCTCGCCCCCCTCCCCGCTGCCCATTCAACTGCTGGGCGGCCTCTTCGGCGCTCTTAGCAACGACACGTACGTCGCCACGTGGGCCAGTGCTGACGCCAGCAACGTCCTCGACTGGCGGGAGGTGGTCGTGGAGGGGATGACGTCAGCGATGACGTGGGACGCCTCGCTGCTGACGTGTCACGGGGTCGCGTCGGGTCTGAAGTACGAGTTCCTGGTGTCAAAGGTGAGAAAGCGCAGGAGTCTTCGCTATTTTCTTCTTTCTTTTCCAACATTTTGTGGAAGCTCTCTGTTTTAATGGCAGCAAAGCGCCGGTGAGGTCAGGATGACTAATCGTCGGGCAGACAGCGATATCATGCAATCTATCTTGAGCACGTTGCTTCTCTGTTGGACGGCTGCGGGTGTTTCGCTCACGGTACAAGGGGAAGCCAGCGCGAGCAGCCCTATAAGCTCAGAGAGTCGGCACCTATTGTGGTCCCTTTCAGAACTGGAATACAAGCCGCAAAAGCTCGCAGAAACCGACGGATGGTTGATCATGCAGACTTCGGCCAAAGTCAAGCGGGTCCTAGAAACAAGCGCTCTACCAAGAAGCTGCTTGAGCAGTTGCTTGTATTGCTCCTACTCATGCGGATAAGTACGTTCCGTCCTAGCTGTCAGGGTAGACACGCTTCACTGCCTCACCGTTCTCGGAAGATGGTTGTAGATTTCCCTCTCTCGCACCTTATCTAACAGCTAGAGGCAAAGAGGTCAACTTCACCTTTTCATTGAGTCGATCTCTCGATCCTGTCGCTGTTCGGACGACCCGAATCTTGCACCCTGCATTCAGATTCAAACATAGCGTCGGCAAGGCAAGACCTCCTTTCCCCCTCGCATTACTATTCTTCCCTATTTCTCAACTTCCTTGTTTTCCGTTCGATAAAGGGCGAAGTGCTTTCGCAATGGTGACCGTGGTTTGGCAAGAGGGCTTTGAAACCCATACCACGTTCCGACCGCACGTCCCTTTTCTGCCCCAGGTCGGTTCACGAGACAACCCGCAACGCGAGATCAGCTTCAGCCGCGTGACGCTCGTATACTCAGACTGGACGTTCCAAGACGCAACGCAACCCAACGTGGCCCAGACCTTCGTCATCCAGAACACGGTCAAGTTCCTGCCACGTGTCCAGCCTGAAGCGCACGCGATCGGCCGCCCGCCGCCCCCGCTGCTGCCGAGTTTGCCGGACGATCTCTTCTATCCGTTCTTCATTACCTCGGCCGGAATGAAGGAGTACATGAGTTGGAGCCGATTGTTGTTGACTCTGTTGATTCCTTCTGCTCTGTTACTTTAACTTCATAGAAAGTCAAGGTACCTAGGAGTGTAGTCCTTGATTTGCCAACCAGTAATCTGCGTCAAGTCTATACAGAAATGATAGTTTGGCAGGTGGCTATCAGAGTTTCTGTAGAACTTCTGGTAACGTCGTCGTCCTTGTAACATGTAGCTTAAGGGAACCTACTGTTTATTCTGCAGTGTTTGAGCAGATGTACAGCATATCGTTAATTGCTGCCATTTTCAATAGGTTGCCTTCAAGAAGGTACGAGTGTACAGCTAGACGGTTGGTGCTATTCGGCTTCCCGAGCGACATGCATTATGTACCTATGCGGTGCAGCTAGTTGCCCCGTTAATTTTCTACATCCCAGATGGAAATTCGCACATCGCCAAATTCTGGACGAAAACATGTTTCTGAGAGCGTGCTGGGGTCCAGATCAGGCCCTCACACACGTCCAATGCACGGGATATTTGTACTGGTCCATGCACCCCCTCACATGTTGCGCATAATCATGTATGGTTCTATGATCTAATTTGCTATACACGTCCGGCCCATGCAAGAATTGAAGTTAGCGCCAGCTTTGCTGCGCCACAAAAAAGGTATGAAGTTCATGCGCACGTTCAAAATATGCATTAGTCGGCGCGCCAATCCACAAGCAACCTATGGTGGGTATCGCGCGCGACGGTCCGGTCACAAATCTGAATCACCGGTGTGTCGCGTCGCGACAATTACTGTACGCGGTACTGACGACCGTGCAGACCGGTACTTGAGAATCCGGTCCGAGTTCATAAATTAGAATCTGTCTGACATTCCGATCGTCAGAAACTTCCGGAGTTTCCGGCGGTACGGTACCGATCAAGTCTGACCGTACGTGAAATTTGAAAATCATGGTTTCGATCGGAAGTTCCGACTCGAACCACCCTAGAGTACCGCGGTACCTAACTTGAAAGGAGAGTGCAGAAGATGGAAACGGGAGTGTAGGGAATGGCGCTTTTTAGAAGCAAGCAATGGCGGCCAATTTGCAGCCACGATGGTGCTTCTTCCGATTTGTCCTCAACATAACAAGATGTTGGAGCTTCGAAGGAGCCTTCATGACGCTCTCCCAACATTTTTTTCTGCTTGTCAGAGGTTTTTATAAGCCTGCATATGGCTCTTCTTTGCGTGCCAATTTGATGCTCCTCTCAAAGTGTAAAACCTGACACTGTTTAAGAATCTCCTCACACTTACTTACGGCCCGGCAAAATTCTCTGAGTATTTGTACCGCCCGAGTAACATAAACCTGAGTAGCCGTGACGCGAACCGCCGGTAACACTGACGATATTCGATACGCGCTAAATCGATTTTGTGGCGGCCGGAGTCGGAATCGACTCGGCCGGTACCCACCATAGGTAGCTTGTGTCATGGCGCGCGCATGGCAAAGCTAAAATCAGTGCTTTGATGGAGATATCGGCAATTGTATGTTCGCAGACATGTTTGAAGGCGGCCCGCCATGCTTTAGATCTGGATGAGGTCAACATTAAACTTAAGTCAGCTAACTTGCCCGACGTCTTTTGATAAGTTGCAGTGTGCATTTCGACTTTGCATTGGTCCAGTTTTTCCGCGAAGAGGGCGGCAACCATGTATGCAGCTGCACAATCCTTAAAGACAAAGGTATGCCCACTCGACATTATATCGGATGATCCAACAAGATGCATGCGGCCGCACTGGCTGGGGCCTAGGATTTTGCAAGTGGGGAAAACCCCGTCGTCATGCAAGCGTGGCAATATCATGATCCAACCCCATTTTTGGAAGTTCACAGCCAACCGCCTCTCCTTGGACGTTTCGAGAAGAAGAAGCCTGTTCAATGCTTGCATTTCTTCAATCTTCTTAGGACGTAACCATATAAACGTAACCATGTAACCAGGATCATGAACGTACATGCCACGAATCTACTGGAGGTATCGTTCATCATAAAATTGGGCAGGTGGGAGACAAATCCAACTCAGATGACATCAAATATTCTTGCTGCAAGATTGGCCTGCTTTTAGTCAGCCTTTCATCCTTCTTTATGTACAGTCTCTTGTGACAAGTATCAAAACAGCAGTCAATGGGCTAGCAAATGTAAGGCTTTACCATGTGGCACATCAAACGAATGTGTCAGTGCGCCGCTGCCTCACTTTCATGAACAACTGCACGAGAGCAAAATTGGGATCAGTTGGGTTCTGCCCAAAGACAAACGCCGTGTTCGGTGTGGAAGTCCGAGGTTCTGTGAACATCCTGCCTTCCGAAGCCTTTCATTCTTCCTTCACCCAAAAAGAAGGCATTACGGCCAGCGTAACAATCAATCGCTACATGTATCTGGCAGATCATATCATTCTGTCACACGCTTGGGCGCCGACGGCTCTTGTGAGGCACTTGCGGGAAATTGCAACAGCATACAATCATGGTTGGTGAATCTATCAAAGAATTAGTGAAATCTCAGAAACAAGAGACCCTGACTCAAAGTCCAAGGTGACAATTGAAGCTTCTGGAGTTTATGCTTCTAATAAAATCAATGAATGCACACGGTGGAACGAAAGTGGCGCCAGGAGTTATATTCGGCTTTTTGAGAAGGCTTTGTTTCTGTGGCATGGCAGAAAATGGAAGAGAATTCTCCAAATGGTCTTTTGACTAGCAAGCTGTGACAAGCAGCTTGACCTTGGTCCGGACCTTTCAGACGTCAAGGGCAGTCAAGTGGAGTCTTTAAGGAACCAACCACAAATCTTGCTTTGGTCAGCAATCAACCACAGGTGAATGGTGGCAACCCTAGATTCAGTGATCAGGACCCAAGATGCAGCAGCATGGCAGCAGAGCAGAGGTGGAAGCGCCAACAAAACCACATACACCCTCTCTCTTCACGAGCAGTAAGACCAAGCACCGAGTCAATTCACAGTCAATCAAAAGCCCTGAAGCACCACTTTCGAATCATCTCAGTTGTCCAGTTCAGGAGACAATCAAGAACATTTTGCTGGTAAAATGCAGATTTGGGCTCATGCCCAACAATCACAAAAAGCTCACCTGCTTTCTGCTGCGTCCCATTATCCCACTTGACCAACTTGTATGAGTAACCCTCCCTCGCCGCCACTTGGCTCTTGTACGGCTCCTTCAAGCAGCTCCGCACCATGGTGGCACACGTGTTTGCATATCGCAAGTACGTGAAGCCCGCTGTCCGCCAAAAGGGAGCCGCTGCTGCCGTTGACATTCTGGCTATCCGCGATCTCCACCCAGAGAGCACCCCAAACCGTTGCCAAACCAACCACGGAACCGAGGAAAGAAGACGCCCCCCACGATTTGTTCCTTGAGGGCGATCTGAACTGTAGAAATGCAGAGAATGCAGCTCGCCGAGGTTGGGCAAAGAATTGCTGGGAAGGCGTGCTCGTTTGCTGCTCAGCGAGAGTTTCTAACCTAGCAGGTTAACCCCGGGTCTGCGCGACCCCCAGCTCGAGGACCGGACAGTCTGGGATCGATTTTGGTTACGGGTCCTGGGTTAGGAACTGAGGGATGATCCGCAAAAGGCGTCTTCCTGCGCATGCCGAAAATGGAGGGTGGCCTGCAGAGCTTCGGGAGCACACTCGAGCAGGCCATGGTTCAGGCGCTTACCTCGAGAGCCCATGGTGCTTGCTGGTTTCTGCGGCTGTTATTTCCGGCATTTGCCCTTATAGAGCTGCATCAGCACCTCATGTTGAGGGCGGCCCAAAAGACGGGTTCCTCAGGGGTTTCACATAGACCTTGCGGGTCAAGCTGAACGGTCTGCATTTGAGTGCAGCATTGGAGCAGCACGAAAGGGGCACCACAGGACTCGGACAGTGCCCTTACTTGAGCGAAGCGTTTGGAACCGTGGTTGAGAGCTTGTGCAATGCTGACGCTGTTCAAACCCTAATCTGAGGTCTTGTCTGGGTGCCCCTCCTCTCTAAGAAAGAAGGCTCCGAGTCCTTCTGATGGCATGTGAGGACGATGTGACCACGTCTGCCATGCCACAAACGGTGCATCTGAACGTTGGTGAGCTTTGGGGTCCTCTGCATTGTGGAAGTGTTTGCCTCATAAGAGAGCATGTACTTGTGTAGGAAGCTGTTTCTAGTCTCAAAGCCAGCAGCCAGTCTGCCTTCAGTTGAGCAATCCTGAGTAGGAGGGATCAATGTGAGAGTACTTTTCCTACATCACAGCCAGCAGCCAGTCTGCCTTCAGCAGTGCACATCTGAGAAGGAGGGACCACTTTCTTGAGCCTACAATGTTGCAAGGGCTTTTCTGTGGAACAGGCAGGCCACAGCGTGCATATCTCAGGGACTTTGTGTGCGGAGGTTTTTAAAGCACATATACATACTTGACTTTCTCCATCGCGTCAAGTTTTGCAGATGAGGCACTTTTTCTACTCCTTGGTATCAAACATCCTGATTATCTTATGTTTCTATTTTATCCTCTCCCTGTGTTCCTAATCTCCCTTCCCCCGGTGCCAGGAGGCAAGCGGTTCTCCACAACAATCTCGACGCTCACTCAACGGGACAGCGATTCCATGCTGGGAGCGATGTTCAGTGGCCGGCACAAACTAAAGCTGGAGGAGAAGGCAAGTTGCTCAAACCTGAGCGCATGCCATTTGAGGCATGTATTGAGATTGAGCTGCTTTAAAACAGCAAGAAAACTAAAGGCGAATAAAAAGTGTGATAATAACATCTTGGGTTCATTGAAGCATACACACTGCTTTCCTGTCTGAACTGATGTATTCAAACAGGAACATGGTACTTCGGAGCAGGACAAGGTTTTTGAACAATGTGTGCGGACAGCCTTGATCCCTGGTTCCTGGAAAGTAGCGGCAGAAGGTTCAGTACCTGATGCACTACTGCTGCTAAATGCAGGGCACAGTCTTCATTGACAGGGACGGCACACACTTTCGGTGAGTCTGCCCCTTACAGTCAGCATTGCCCCTTCGCTTGAATACTCACACATCTCCGTTTGGAGGACATTATTGTTACTCCCGGTCAAAGAGCAGGTGAACGCCCACCGAGGTGCCTGCCTTTGAGAGCAACGTCTAGACCCTTTCACAGGTCATGAAAGCAGATGTGATTATGGTACCCTTTGCATGAGAAAACCCCCGCTTCGCTGTCTTTCTTCTGTACATCTCCTGGTACCCTGCGCACTATTCTGAAACTCATTCTGCCTGCTTATGCAGATTATCTCTTTCTCCACAGGCACATCCTGAACTGGCTCAGAGATGGGGCGGTCCCAATGTTAGACCATGCGGAAAGTTACGAGCTCCTGCGAGAGGCAGAGTACTTCCAGTTGAGAGTAAGTTTCTCAAGCCTTGAAATAAATTTTGGGGAGAGGAGGGTCTCAGGCCAAGTTCTTTTATTCATCTCACAAGACATTTTGCAATTGAAATGCAACCCCGCGATATGAGTGAGAACAGAATCCTGTAGCTCAGTTCATGAAACATAAAGAACCTGCTTTGTCTAGTCCCCGTCTTGATCAGCTTGCTTAAAGGATTGGGAAAGACATGCGATCTGAAGGTTGAGAAAGACATGTCCATTAGTATGTTGACGAACTTTAAGAGCAAGATCCTGGTCTGCTTGGGATTTGTTGCAGAGCTAAGTTTGTGCCTGGTTTCCCTGCAGGGTCTCATTGACGCTCTCGCATTGGCGCATGCTCATATGACAAGCAAGGCCGACGAGGACGAGCCTGAACTAACACGGAAGGAGGTACGCATGCAATTCAAATTCCTCAATCAACCATTGGTCTGAAACTCGCTTTGCTGAGCAAAAAATTCTGGTAGTCAATATCCTGTAAGACTTTTGAAGGAGGAGGGACAGTGCAAGTCGAAGGGGTGGCGCTGTGTGGCTTTCTTTTTACCTTTTGTGAGGTTGTTGTCGTTTATGCAACCCCCGTTGTCATTGGTGCGACTGGAGCACAGCAAGATGGTTGCTTGTGAGAATCAGAGTCTTTGAGAACAGTCTTGTTGGTCAAAGCAGATGGCTGCCTGCACTAATTCTGCGCGAGCTCGTTGCGGAAGTCGTCTGCTCCGCAGCCATTTGTTGGCAAGGTTGAAGCGTTGATTGAGAAGCTGTGCTGCAGGATATATAGTGCGAAAAGGTTATAAGCTAATTTTCGAAGATCGTCTGCTCCATGATAGCTCTTTTGGCAAGGTTTCGAAGCTTTTTTGTGGTGATTGTGTCGCAAGCTTTGGCCATTCAATCTTGAAGAGCCTGTTCGTGATTGCAGGTCATCATGTGTTTGCAACAGTCCCGGGTCCGGTTGAGGGGCGTCAATCTCAGCGGCCAGGACCTGTCTAAACTGGTAAAGCTTCCACAGGGCTTCAGAGTTGCAGGATATCAGGATATCGCTTCCCTTCCGCAATGATCCAGATCGGCTGACATTATCGGTCTGAATTAAGCAAGGAATTACAAACGCTTGCCCGGAAATTACGCAACGAGCAGACACGTCTGGCCGTTCCACAGCTGAGCTTGCTGAGCGGTCTGCCAGACGAAGGACTTCTTGACCTACTGGGTTTTGGTACAAGTCGGCTTCCGCTGCTTTCTTGTGTTGCGTGACCCATGATTGGTCAACCTCTCCCTCGCAGGATCTCGCTGGAGTGGACTTCAGCTACGCTAACATTACCCGCACATTCTTTTCGCGAGCCAACCTTCATCTAGCTATATTTAGGGTGAGTGTCTGCCTTAACGGGGTTCATGGTACGTCATTCCGTTGTCAAACTCCAATCGCCATTCCCGGCAGCACATTCTTGTCAAAACATTGCTCGCTTGTGCTACGCGACGGTGCCTCTCCATACACTGTCAAAAGAATCGCCTCTTTTAGGCTTCCTGTTTCAAGATGTATATGGTTTCGAACTTATATGCAACGAGCCAATCCTTGGACCTGTACGAGCTGGCGGTCTGTCATAGTTTTAGACGCTGTTGAAAGACGTGCTTCTTGTAGTTTCGCACGCTTCAAAGTTACACTGTTTGGGGTTGTCCCGCTTTCATTTCTCATTTCCTTTCGCTTGTACTTCCGTTGATGCGCTCGAAAGCACTCTGATGTGCGATAGAGACGATTGCCCAATATCAAAACCCAAAACCGTATAGTCCTATGCTGTCAACTGCCTAGGCAAACGGCTAACGTTCTGTGATGAGTGCAGCTTCACATTTGTGACGTGGCCAGCTACCGATAACCGCAGCAGTCACTGTCCAAAAGCAGCGACTCGTCTTACTTGTCAACCACTGTCGTTTTTCCTCCATGTCGTCTTGCCTCCATGGCGCAGCTAACAGCTCCCCACCCTCGCCGTTTTCCGCAGGAATCACACGCGGAGAACTCCAATTTCACCAACGCCTGCCTGAAGGAGTGCGACTTCGCAGGCGCGAACCTCAAGGGCGCTCTGCTGGTGGAAGCGACGCTGCAGAGTGCCAACCTGCAAGGTGAGCTGACGTCGGCATGAAGCACAATTCGTAATCCTTTCCAGGTCCTCGTCTTAGTACGTCCATTTCGAGTGAGCCGTGCTCTTGCCTTGAAATGTCAAAACGATTGGCTCGACCGTCGTGGGAAGTTCTCGTTACTCGAGATGGACGCTCGAACTTGTTATATCGCAGAGCAGCACCATCCACAAAAGGCGCTCGTAAGCGCATGGGTGAGCTGACGTCAGCACGACGCATGCAAAGCCTAGCTGAAGGACTTGCCTATTGTCGTTCGTGACGAGGTTTTCGCTCTGCAGGACGTTAACAAGGATTTGAGTTAAGGAAGGTTGTGCACCTAACGACATGACGGCTTTTTCGATATCTCAGTCGAACGCGGTACCCGTATTCCTGTCCAAAGCGGGCCAGCAACTTTTGTGCTGAATTCTCTGGCTCGATGAGCTTTCGAGGCTTTCGGTTATCTGAGCAAGCCGTTCTACCTTGAAATCGGTATTTGGAGTCGAGCCGCAACGATAAGGGGTTATGGAGCCGTCCACAGCTCATTCGACGACCTGACGTCGGGTCTTACCGTTCCTGTTCCGTTCCAGATGCCACGCTGGTGGGGGCGAGCCTGTTCGGAGCGGACCTGCGGAGCGCCCACATGCAAAACGCTGATCTAACCAACGCTAACCTGGAAAAGGCAAACCTGGAGAATGCGAACCTGAAGGTGAGAGCAGAGGCTTGGAGGGCATACAAAGACCTCAAGAAAAGATTGAGGCAATGTAGTGGCAGGGAAAAGGAGGCTGGAGATAGGATCCCTAATCTGTGGTTCTCGTCAAGCCGATCTGTTCGGGTTTCCTTTTTCTCGTCTTTGTTTCATTTGTCCTCTTCAAGCCCTTCACTCTCGATCAGTCTGCTATCATCTACCCAGCAGAAGCCGATCAAATCGATCAAACTCGGTGGTAGGCGTTTTCCGCCACCAGTTGTGCAGGTCGGGCACTCATTTAGATTCGTGCCCACGTTCCCACTTCCCCTTTGATGCTCTGGAAGCACTCGTAATTTGGAGTTTCTGGGGAAGTACGCTTCATATCTTGTGTTTCCAAGACCTATCTCCCGGCAAGCGACGGGGCAGCGAAGTATCCAAAAGCCAAGCAGCTATTTGCAAGAGCTGGACTGTTACCGCTCGGTTCTAGGGTGAGAATGGATTATCGGTAAAATGCTTGATTCCGCTGGTTAGACTGAACAAAATGTGGGCCGTTGTCCAGGGGGCCATTCTTGCAAACGCGAATCTGACGGGCGCGAACCTGACCAGGGCGTATCTGCGGGACGTGGATCTGCGAGAGACAGTAAGCGTTCTTATCACAGAACTCATTCAAGCGTCGTATCAATCTGCTGATTTTGAGGAAAGTGCAGTATTTTTCCTCTTTCAAAGAGCACAGGGTCAACTTGGAGTGCCTGCAAACGCACAGCAGGTTCGCTTACAGGAGTGGCACGTCAAGGACTTGGAGGCAGACTGATTCTAGCACGCGCTTGCAGAGCTCTTGGGTTGCCAGATAAACTCCTTTTTTGGAGCATTGAAGAGAGGCTGTAAAGAGGTGTTCGGATCCAAATTTGGATCGGTCTGCGAAATCCATCTTCCGTCTGGCGAAAAAGGAGAGACGTAGTCCACTTGTTGGCTCCAAACATCATCTTCAGTAATGCTACATTAGTTGTCGTGGCCAGTAGCCCAGCTTACAGCATTTTACAGCAAACATGGTAAAGCCTCTTTGAGTTGAGATTCTTTCAACACCAGTTTGGATATGCAATTGGTGGGTACACAACGTTGACATTCTTGCTTGCTATGTGCAGCGTCTAGGCGGCGCGACCTTAAATGGAGCCAACCTGCAAGGCGCAAACCGATAGCCTTTCCCACAATCGAACATTTGTAGCATTCGTTGATCAATTAATCGGTTCTGCTAGCCAGCACTACCCAATCATTGTACAGCTTCGCTTAGTGGATCCTACTTGTAGATACTAAGGAACGGTTTGACAGGTCGTCGTGGGTTCGAATGCATGCAGCAGGCGGGTCCAAATCATAGTTGGTGTGAAGACCATGACTAATCTATCACAAGAACCTTGACGATCATTGTCGGTTTACGTAGTGCAAGGAGTCGAGACGTTGGGCACCGCATCCGTCTGTGCAGACAGATGCAAAAGTAACTTACACGTGATAATCCAATCAACTCTGGAAAGCATTTCGCATCGCATACGTACGCATAGGATCTGGATGAGTCAATGGCATTTCCCCTGGACCCGTGTCCCATGAACGGGCAATGGGATGCAAGTACCTTCCAGGACTAGCTGCCTCCAATCAAACATCTACAGCACTGACGCGGATGTGATGCGGCCCGGCGCGCCTGGTCAGGCAGGGTTATGCTTCAATCCTTTGCAATTCGATTGCCTTTTGGTGTTTACTACGCGCTGTTTGAGCCGCGCGCCTTCTGCTTGCGCATTAGTACAGCTCCTGATCGACAATGATTGATTGAATATCGTAATTTCTGGATGCTCGATCTCCGACTTGCCACATGCAGGTCGCCATGTGGAATCATTGCAGCCAATCATGTTTATATGTAAAAACAAGGCACGGCGAACTAATGAAAACAGCTCACTGTCGCCCTTAATTGCACAGCTCGGCATCTGTCCATTCTGTGCGGCCCCCTAGCTCACTCAGTTAATCAGACGCGGTCGTGCAATGATCGATGGATGTTTGCAGAGAAACATGACGGTCACTTGTACAAACATCTGGGTCAGCTCGCGATTTCAATCAAGCAAAGGGACGGTGCAGATGCGAACAACCTTGCTGCCACTGGGCTGGATGCTTTCTACTCTTGTGCGGATGCTGAACGCTTCGAACGCTTTGACCGAAGACGACCAACAATGGAAAAGCTTAGACACCTCGCCGTAACAGGCATGGGTTACAATTTGACCGTCAATAAAGGCGTCAAAATTTCAAATTTGACCATGTTCTCCTCAACCTCGACTCTCCTAAAAACATGTACGTACGCTCCCTTCTCACGTCACCTTTCTAAAGAGGTTCTTCATGTCGTGCATACGACCACTTAAGTACGAACCTCTTTCAGCAATTGTCGATCTTGAGATTTCTGTGGACGCTCACCATATGTATGCTCCAGAGGCCCTGGTTAAATAACCGTATAGGTTACGTCTTTTTATGCTGCCCTACGTCATTAAATAGGTCTTCCCCGCCTTCTACAACGTTCGCCTCCAGATCGTCAAACTCATCCTTGCTCTCGTCAACACCCCCCCTGCGCTCCCCCAACAATCTCGCCCTGGAGCTCATTCTCATCAGGGGCATATTCACACCCAAACCCGCCAACGGTCGCACTTGCTCCCGACTGTGCGACCGGGGAAGGAACACTCCAGACTCCTCCGCTCGCTTGACCTCGGAGGCCGGAGACACCTTCACTTTCGGCATGACGTCAGCGGCCTTCGCGCCCTCGGGCCCCTGCCACGTGTCAGCCGGGAGCATGGGCAGCTCGATCGAGCTCTTATGCCTCGTCGGCCGGTGCTTATCCAGCAAACCCGCCCGCTTATCGTCACCGGGCGCCGCCAGCAGCTGGTTGTCGCTGAAGGACCGGCGGCTGCCGAGGTCGCCCTTTGCTGTCGCCGGAAGCTGCTCATGTGACCGGTTGGTACCGCCCCGGTCGGTCCCAACCGGGATGAAGAGCACGCGCGAAGGGGTCTCGGCGACGTACTGCAGCTCCGCCTTCAGGCGAACGGTATCCAAAGCCCCTGTGAAAAAGTTAGGTGACGGTCTCAGAAAAGAATAGTGCCTTTGAAATGTGCTTTAGAAGGCACCTGAAGAAACGGAAACTGTACCAGACAGGCGGAGAAGCACGTTCGGTTTGTTGGTTTTGCCTGTGTCTCTCTGGATCGGGGGTTGTTGCTCTGACATCAAAACGGGATCCTATGAAAAGCAACCAACGAAATGGAAAATGGGCTGTGAGGCTACCTTATCAAGGAATTGGTTCTTCACGACCGCTTTATTGTTGAGAATCCGAAGTATCTCGGATGGGAAGAATAACGGACTGAGTTTGGGTGGCTCCCAAGGAACGGGAGCGGATATAAGCCGAAGCATTCAACGAATCCTGTAATCTTGCTCAACGATTATAACTTGATGGAGGTCACAAGAAGACGAATTTCTATGAGGCTACAGCAGAACGAAAGGTTCTCGGGGTACGGTTTGTGAATCATGGAACTTCAAACTAGACTTTTTATAAGCAACGAAGGCAAGACTTGCCAAAGATCCAGCCGCGCTCGCCCAGATGTGTCCACCATCAGACCCGGCGAAGATTGTTTTCCCAAAAACACAAATTTACGCGACGAAAGCAGACCAAATTACCTGAGAACAGCGAGGATATGTCGGGATCTAGCCCCATAGGAGCGATCAGCGACCGGCCTCCAGCATTCCGCAGCGTACCCTCGAGCAACACGAGAACCTCGTCGTATCGGATTTGCACGACCTCCTCCGGATCGAAGTGCTGCAGAGAAAAAGTTCGCAAGTCAGACAAACACACTTTCACGTTGGTAGAGCGGGGAAAGCAGCCGGAATTATCTGCTTCTGAGGCGAACGAGCTCGGGATGAAAGCTGTGATATGACGATGTAACATTTGATGCTCTGAACATTCCGCGAAGGATTTGGGGGACGAGGTAGGTGGGTGACGAGAGTATGGATACAAGCTGTTGAAATGGAAAGGATGCCAGCGTGATTCCCCGGGGCGTATGATATGCAGTCGGGTTGAATCTAGGAATCTATTGTTAAGCAACACATGTGTCCTGAAGCTCTGGTTTGAAACCCAGTCCAATCCCAAGCTTGCCGACGACTTGCATTCCTTTAGGGACGGCTCGTTTTAGTTAGCACGGCCTAAGCTCACTTTCTTCAGGAGTGCGTGCATCAGCGCGCTTTCCCTTAACTGTGAAGTCGTTCTTGCGAGGCAACTACGGGGCATTTTGTTGGTGGCTACCCGCAATGCCCTCTCGATCTCATGAGAAGGGCTATTTGAATTGGCAGAACTGGTCTTATCATTTTGGAAGAGTCTGTTTGCACTTCTGACGCCCCACTTTGATACGCGATCTCTCAATCAACAGTCGCGGTTACCTTGATCCGCCAGCTTAATCTGAGCTAGATAACGGGGGTGAGATCCAAGGTGGGGGGTTCGAAAAAGCAATCAAAATCCTAGATACTCCGATCATGGGTTCTAACCGCATCTCCCGGCAGACGGATACTATCAGTTGCGAGCCAAGAGTGGGTACGGTTGCCGAGCACGTCAATTCTCGGTTGAGAATGTAGATCACTTCTTAATCTGGAGTAAGACCCTTGGTCTAGTAGATGATCGTGAAGAAGACGACCCGTAACTAACTGAATGGTAGCTAATGAAACTCATACAGCGCATCAGCTGAACTATAGATAGCCAGTTGCTCCTGAATGAAACACACGCCCAGCAAGGTCAAGTACCTAGATTTCGCCAGGGTGAGCAAGTCGGACTATACTAGGTTTTTGCAAGCCTCGATCCTCGGTTTTTGAAGTGACCGTGCAAAGCATGACATGTGGGCCTTGAACATGTTGCAGCCGCGGGCCACGAAATGCTTCAAGCTTGGGAATCAGTCCCCTCTCCATTAGTATATAGCTTCGCATTATGGACGGTAAGTGGGTTAACAGTATCACCTTGAGACGCCCTTTCTCCATGATGAGCTTTCGGATCTCCTGGAGGCTCAGGTGCGCGAGCGCTCGCGGCAACACCAATCGACAGAGCAGAACCGCGCTCTCCTGCAAGAAGGGATTTCCGTGTCATTACCAAACACGAGCAGTCGTTTGAGAAACACTACAAATCAGGACCCGGATTCAGGACGGTCTTCAAACGTTCTCAAGAACGCTTCCGACTGAAAAGTCCGGCGCTTTAAAAACAACAAGATAAGAAAATCATCTGAAAAGTCCCCTTTTTCATATTGTCACTGGACTTAATCCTCCCTGCCCGTACTGAAAACGTGTACTTAAACCGGGTCGCGGTTTGAGAAACTGTGAAACCGGAGTTCGTCTATCACGTGTCTCTGCGCAAACTGTCTGCTTCATTGGTCAGTTATCGAGTTTGGACCATCCGAAACGAACGGCTGTTCACTGTCCGTATGCGACAATACTTGAGTTGCTAACCTCTTGCGCGATCGATGTAAACCAGCATGAATTTCGATATTACTGAACCAACGAATCGGAAGCTGATCTTCCAACTGGGGGCAGATTGATGCTTGGGAAAAATGGTCGATGAAATCTCGTATACCGCTTTCCGTTAGCGACGCGGAAGAGGCAAATGAAGACGGAGTCACTGCAGGAAATCAGTGCACGGAAGCGGGAACCTAAGGCGGGAATGTGCCTCCGGGACAATCTCCCGGGCGCTCACCTTCCACAGGAACTCAGCCACGTATACGTCGGTTCGAACCATCTCGGCGAGCCGGTTCCGCTGTACGTAAAACGGAACGGATCCGGCTCAGTGTGCTTGTTATCGATCCGCAAGACAGGACGCGCCCTCTTCAGCTTTTGATGTGAACCTCTGCTTGATGAACAGTTGCGCTTGATTGAAACACAAGGCGCAAGCATTGTGTTAATCGTCGATCTCGAAACCTCCACTTAGACGATGACACGTGTCACACCTGTCCAATCCTTAAGACACAGGTGTGCTTGTTTCAGTGCGCTGAGGCATGCCCCGTTATAAAGGAATCTGGCGCCTACTTATGCCAACTTTCCTTTTGCAAAGATGACACTGAACGGTGGAAAGACCGGAACGGACGGAATGACCCGAAGGAGCAAGCAGCGGAATCGCTCACGTCAACAACGTAGCACATACAAACGGAATCCGCGACGGCGGTGGTCAGTTTCCGGCGGTTCCCGGCGAGGGCCTCGTACAGGCCCAAAATCGCGCCGGCGCCCAACACAAAGTGGGACACGTGGCGCTCCCCGTGCGAGGTGCTGACGTCATCGACGGTGTAGACCTGTAGAGCGGATGGGTACCGCAATCAGAAAGCGCAAGGCAGGCGAACTTATACGGCGACAACGAAGGCTTCTACGTGGAAACGAGCGCTAGGGGGGGCAAAACCGTTTAACGAACGTGTCACGTGATCCCACAAAAGCAGTCGGTAAACTGACCTAGCGAAGTCCTTGTCAAAAGGACTCCATCGAGAGAAAAGGGTGAATGTGAGCCTTTGTCAGGCCAAGGCCGTTCAAACGCAGCAATCCTGGTCTTGAAAAACGGGAAGATGTCCAAGCGCATTAGACGTCACATGCTTTTCAAGCTTACTGGGTCTAACCGCGTCATTTCACGTCACATAGCTCCGTTTTTAAATCAAGCCACGCGTTTCTCAGCACCCTCGGGTTCTAGCGCGCCCACCTTCACTAGGTCGTTCGCTGCCTCGGATTCCTTAAATTTCAGAATCTGATCTTCACAAAACCGCCCCCGAAGACATGCACATTCCCAAACTTGATTCAAAGTACGTTCCACTGACAAGAGCAAGTTGGTCCGCGCCAGGGCTTGTGGCAAAGACCGTAATCGGTCCTCACCCGCCGTCAAGTTTCAGAACCAAAACCCGTTACATTCAACCCCACATGATTGCGTTCACCCGCATTCACTTCACCAATCCACACACTTACTCGCCGCTAGTCAATGTCGACGACGCGCCCAGAAAATTCTCTTGCCAGCTCGCTGCCATACATGCTTAAACCTTTATCCAGTCAATTCTGAAACGGCAGTAACCCAAAAGCCGAAATTTCGCCTTAAGCAGCCCGCTTCCGACGATGTGCACCTCCCCGCCCCCGACCGGTGTCACCGCCCCCACCGGGCAAATCGGCGCTTTCTCAAGAAATGTAGGTTTGGGATCTCGGAAACCCCGTAACCCTAGTCATTAACCCGCTCTGAAACCCTGAAACCTTACCTTAGCCAGCCCGCTTCCAACTATGTGCACCTCCGCCCCCCCGACCGGAGTCGCCGACCCCTCCCGATAGATCGGCGCTTTCTTAAGGAACGTGGGCGTACTTTTTGAATCTTTGAAACCCCGTAACCCTGATCTTTAACCCGCTCTCAAACCCTGAAAGCTCACCTTAGCCAGCCCGCTTTCCGACGATGTGCACTTCCCCCCCCCCGACCGGTGTCGCGGACCCCTCCCGATAGATCGGCGCGCCTTTCAGGAACGTCCGCTCCTTCCCGTCCCGCCGGACCATGTTTTCAAACTGCACGGGCACGTGGCTCCCCAGGGGGGTGTTCCGCAGGAGACCCATCGACTGCTTTGGGCGGATAAGGAGCGGCGCGCGCTTGAGCTTCTTGAGGTCGAGCCGGACGGTGTCGTGCAGATGCCCGATCTCCTTGGTGTCGATGAGACCGGAATGGTCCAAAGCCTCGATGTAGGATTGGAGCTGGGGAAGAAATTTTGAGGGCTTCATAAGTTTGAAGAATTCAAGAAATCAATGTCGTAGACATTTAGGGTTTCCTTGGCGTTGATCCGGCCGGAACGATCAAGGCCTCGATGAAGGTTTGAAGCTGGGCGAGAGTAATTTGAAGAGTTTAGGGCCTCCACTAGAGGCTTAGGGCTCAAGGGGTTTGGGGATTCAGGGACCTAGGACCTGAGAATTTAGGCTCTGCTGCGTTGCAAGGCTTAGAGGTTCAGATTTCCTTAATGTTGATGACACTGAATGGTCCAGGGCCTCGATGTGGGATTGGAGCTGGAGAGAAGGACTTTGGGGATCAGGGTTTGGAGTCAACGAATAGGGGCTATTATATTGTCGATCCAAAGCTTTCGAATTCCGGCGTTTCGAATTTCGTTTGGTGTCAAATGGTCCAATGTAGGATTGGAGCTGGGGAAAACTTGTTGACTTTATCAGGTCTTGACATTGAGACACCCGCTGCTGGGCTGATTGCGCGCCTACTCTGTGGAGGTGATCACAAAAGGATGTTCTGAGAGATCCACGATCAAGACTTGCCTGGGATGCTCTCGACCCTCATCCACTGGTTGACCCTTCATTCTCGGCTGGACCGAAACTCTGATTATCACAGCTTGCACTGCAGTCCCCAGAAATTGTCCTTTTGCAACAGATGCCCTTCTAAGGTTCGCTCTTGCGTACTTTGAACACTTTCAACTTTTTAAAGTTCCTTCCAAACGTGCGGTTCACACAACGAAGCGATTCGCTTTCGAAAGCGTATTGAGATGTACGCTCTTCCCAAAAGTTCCATCTGCAAGCCAAAGATAAGGACAGCTGTGATGAGGGTGGTGCTTACGTCACCGAGCACGTGGAATGCCACCTGGCGCGTCTTGACTGACGTCAGCACCTGGGGGAAGGTCTGCGCGACCTCCTCCAGGAACGCGCGCGCTTCTTTCTCGTCCCGCAGGCTCTCCTTGATGACCGCGTTCGTTAACGAGTCGTCGCGCAAAAACTCTTGCAGCTGGTTCCTGCAGAAGAGGGCCAAAACAAGAGCTTGGATACCATTTTCCATTCTGAAATAACAAGCATTTGGAGTAAAGCTCCTCACCGAACACCCGAACCTGAACCGTCAACGTTATTTGCCTTGCATCGTACTCACCCTAAACCCCCAAGTAAACCCACCCGTTTAGCAATCTTTCGAACGATGAGATTTCTGTAAAACCTGCAAGATGAAGTGATTGTAAAAGCATTGACAAATGAGTAGTCATTGATAACTCCCGGCACCTCGCATGTTTTTCAAACGGGGCCCTTGTGTCCAAAAATGGTAAGTGACTCCTATACCAGCAAAGAAAAGCAATGACTGAGACATAGAGCCCCCACCTGGCCGTGTGGTGCGCGCGCAGGTACCCCGCCGCGAGCGCGCACGCGCGCTCCAAACTGCAAACAACCAGCCGATTGACGAGCGCGTTAACGTACGGGTTATTGCGGCGGATCGACTGCAGGAAGCGCAGCCAAGGGGGGACGCGTACATACGGGCGGAGCTCGTCCCAATCGCCGAGAGCGTCTTCGTCGTCGAGACCGCAGTCGACGGACTCGATGAGGATGCGGGTCTCGACTTGAGAAAGACGGTCCTGGTCGAGCAGGTCCCAATACGCGGCTTGCACCCCTGCAACGTTTCGAAAGCTTCTTATTTGCTCCAAGGAGTCTCGGCTTTTGAGATTAGTTCCTGTGTAGAAGATCCTAATACGCCGAGCAAAATTCATTCAATAAACGGAACTAATACTTGCAAGACACGCCCGGGGGACCGGGGGGTTAAGCATGGGAGTTACGGTGGGTCGGCGGCAGAAAGCGTCATGCTTGTCGATTAGTTCTAACTTACGCCATTGCACCCGATACTCTTTTGTGCAGGTTTGGAGCTCTTGGGTTCGGAGCCAAGAGCTATCCAATGAGGCGGAGCCAGACTTCGCATAAGCTCGGACGTATTAACAGCTCAAACTACATTTTAGGAAGTGGGCGGAAGAGTTCATGGCCCCACGAGAGCAGACAAGGCGTAGGAACCTTATTGCTGGGGCTTTCACCCTACTCGTCCAGCATGTGGTGCCTCCTCAGGCCCAAGAAAATAGACCGCTGTCGCATGCCATTTTCAACCTGGCTTCGACCACCAGCCGCTCTTTCTGTGTTTTGCAAAGGACCTCACCTCAATCGCAAGGCGCGCGAGCTCGTACGAAATATATGAAAGTTGTGGGGGTTTGTGCGTACCTCGCAGGAAACGGACGCGCGCGTCTCTCATCCGCATGGCATACATCTCGTTCGTTTCGTCGCTGATTGTCGCGCCGAACGGATCGGTCGTCCCCGCTGTTTCTCCCTTCCTGAAGATCGATGCAACGAGGCCGCGTTAACGCAGTTTATCTTGTATCAAGAGAGTGCGATTCTTGTGGTACTACCTGTGGATTCCGAACAAGCGACACCAGCCTTGTCGAAACAGAAGAATAACGGCTTTGTCAAGCAGAGTTCCCGCGAAAAGAGAGGCCCTGTTCGGCGGTGGGCTGCAGAATCCAGTGGAAGTAGTTACAGAGATTTGGACGGACGGCCAGCTCGGGCAGCTTGAATTCGCACCCAAGATGTTGCACGGCCAGTCTGCGATTCACTATGTGCGAACATTACGGAAATCGACGTTGTACCATACTCCCCGCCTTTACGGGATCTATCGAATACTGTCGAAAACATCTTGGGGACGTGGTTAAGGGGCCCGAGCAGTGCCTGGAACCCAAATCCTTTGATACCGTTGTCGCTCTTTTGGAAGCCCAGTCGCTTGAACAGGCGAACGTCAAAGGTGAGCGACCAACAACAAACCGGGATTAGAAGAAAAGCCTGTTCGGCGGCGGTCTGGCTCATTAGAGCCTACAAGTAGGGCCAGTGCGCTGGAGCCAGTTCCTCGTTTCTGATTGCCGCCTGCTTAGTAAAACAATCCGTGGCGTTGCCTCAGGCCAAAGCTCTTGATTGCCAGATTGGAGGCCCTGTTCGGCTGCGAGGTGCCGATTCTCACTTAAACCCTCAAACCTCAAAACCCTAGAACCCTAAACCCCTGAAACCCCAAAACCCTGAGGTACGCGACGAAGTTTTGGGCGGTGGGCCACTGGGCGGAACCAGCTTTTGCTCCACCTTCACCGTTTCTCCCAAATCTAGCCACTGACGATGAAAGAGGCGGATTCTGCCTGCTAAAACACTCCAAACCCTGTTCGCCAGCGGTGTGCCGATTTGAAGTACTGTTGGACGGACGTCCAATGCGCGGGGCCCAGCCCCTCGGGTGAATCTTGTCGCTCTTTTCGAAGCACAGTTGTTCAAGAGGAAAGAGGCGTTTCAAGTTAGACAGGACACCCGGACGAAGTGAGAGGCCCTGTTTCGCGACGATATGACTTGTCTCACCTAAGGTACGCGACGAACTTTTGGACGGACGGCCAGTGCGCGGGGCCCAGCTCCTCGTCGTCCTCGCCCACCTCCACGTACGCCTGCAGCGCGCGGCCGCGCATCTCCTCCTGCGCGCACTCCAGGATGCGCATCTGCACCAAAAATGCTTTCTTGTATGATTGGGTGTTCTCTTGGCACTTTTCTCCCTCTGATCTGTTTGATTGATGGTCACATGTCAGCTCGTTTTACCCACCAGTCTCCTTCTTTCTCTTGGCGCTCCTGCTGTCTTCCGTTCATAAGATTGGTGGTCGCCTTTCCCCTCAGCCTTCCTTCAATCTCCACGATTCCCCTCGACTTCGCTTATTTCTCAACGATCGCTCGTTTCTTAATCATGATCATGTGCGACTCTTCTTGGCTCCTTCTACTTCTTGTGCACCGTTCAATTTTTTCTGCAGGTCGCGATTCGTCTGCGCGATTCCGGACGGAGCGGACGGCATTGACCCCACCTTGGATTCGGACAGACGATCCATGCCCAGGAAGCTGAGCAGCCGCTTGGTCGTGCTGCCGTTGACGACCAGGGTTAAGAAAACCACTCCGCCGGTCAGGAACACAAACTGCACCCATTATTACAGGTTAGCATCCGCAAAACGAGGTGAAGTGACTCCCTCTGCATCAGCAGATTACAATCTAGACGTCGCGAAAACAGCTGATTTGTGACAGCTGTCGAATCCGCGAGAACAGGATGATTGAACCGCTTTTGTACATAAACTGCACGATCAAAGCATGCGTTCAGGTCACCGTGGTCCGTCCTGAACGAACCGGCGGAATACCCCAACCCCTCACTCTTCGCGGTCTTAACAGTGGACGCCTTGATTATTTGCAAGAAGCTACAGGAAACCGTAAACTTTGCAAGAGAACCCTGCAGCTGAAAAGCAGGCTTCAGGAGTATGGTAAGCATCCGGAAAGTGCTGGAAGCACTCACTCTGGCGCGGTTCTTCGGCGAGACGGAGTGGTCGACTCCGTTTGCGTCGATGTGAGATTCCTGGTCTCTCTGAAGTAGCCCGCGAAAGAGCTTGTTAGAACCAACGACGAAGGTTTGCAGTCCGTGTTGTCTTCATTGAAAGCAGAAGGATGCCTGGTTCCGGCGGAATGCTTCCGCAATAAGTCATTCCGCATTTATAAACAGTGCACAGCGGAGAGGGAGGACCATGAAAAAAGGTTCTCCTGAAATGGACCCGGGAATGCACTTGCGTCTCACGACTTACAGTTTAATAGTTGGTCCTCAACGAAGGAAGGAAGCATTCATCCCTCATGAAACTTCGCAAGTCGAAACCAACCGCAAAGTGGTCGCGAAACCCAATATTTTCGAGTATAGGATGTTTTCACAACATGTGTCGGGGCTTACCTCCACAGTCAAAGCAAGAGTAAGCGCCACGGCGCCACGTAATCCTGCCCACGTCATCACCGTTGCCTGCACAGTTTTCGCATCGGCGATCAGAGACTTTTCGTTACGTCGTACAAGTTCGGTCAGAATGGACGCAGACTCTTATACAAATTGAAAGGCACCGGGAGAATGCGCGAGCGCTAACATAGTACAGTAAGAGGCTTAAAGCATAGCGGTGGCAAGGTTTGTACCGGACGATGAGTGGTCCACTCGGCCGACATGGCACACGTCAGCTACTTTTATTGGCCGAATGGCCGGTGACGACAAGTAGGACAGGTCGTATCGGGCGTAGAGCAACCGCTGGACCCAAAACGATTGGCTTTTCGAGCACGCATACCGCCACGTGGCACTTCTTAACCATCTGATAACCCGAACTGAGCAAACTGCAATCAATCTCAATACTGAAGGCCGTCCCGTAGTTTACAGGCTTCCTTTCTCGGTGGTCGTTATCTCACGGCCACTTAGTTCACGGTAGTGACCAATTTCCGAGATTCGTCAATCTGATTCGGAGCGCTCGAACATTTTCCCATTCAATCAGTTAAACTGAACAGGGTGCTGACTGAGCGGGGTCAAGGGGAATCAGTAGTTTTGGGACCGGGGTTGGGGACGCTGTTGAAAGGGACGACATGACCGGGCTCTTTCCGCTCTTTGTTTGCCCAGAGGGAGCCTAGCCCAGGGTTTCGTGACTAAACCTCGCCACGTCATCCGTTCCAATAGTGTCCCCAACCCCGGTCCCAAAATATACTGATCCTCCTTGACCCCGCTCTGACTGCACGTGAACGTCCTATTGAATGTACGGACCCCGAAAAGACTGCTGAATCCTCGGTGATAGACGAAACTGGGTGCAAACCTCTTTCCAGTCGATCCCGTAACCCAGGTACTTGAGGAGCGGGTAGGATAACCCGACGACGACAACCCGGGCTAATTGGACGAAGACGTACAGCACGAGCAGGTACGCCCAGTCGCGCGCGTCGATGCTCCCCGTATTGCGCAGGATGACCTCAGCAATGATGACGCCGCTGCACGCGCGCACGCCGGCGCATTGTTGCTGGTCAGAAGATCTTGGAAGGAGTGGATTGAAAAAGAGAGCTAAGTAGGAAAGTGATCGAAGGCGCTTAAAGTAAACCAAGCGATGAAAGAGAAATGGATACCGACATTTGTATATCCGGCTCGCTTAGATATGGTCCAACTCGAGGACGAAGCAAGCACGTCCCTCTTCAGTCCTTTGCGCACTCCTCAGCCTTTAGTTCTTTGCAAACTAGAGAGGAGGCACAGAGTGGCTGGATCTAGAGCAGCTGACAGGAAGTTAGGGTTTCAGGGCAAGCGCCGCTCCTTCTTGAAGACTGAACCAACACTGTCCAACCACACAGTTTCAGGCCCTTCCAGGCTCCATTATTGAGCGAACAAACTGTGTCCCATGTCTAGTTGGTGCAAGAAGCACGAACAACTTCCTGAAGGGCAAGCTTCCAAGAAGAACCGGAAAAGCGGTGTTCGTTGAGTTTTGCTTCTAAGCTGCGCGACCTACGCCAGAACCAAGAAGAACCGGAAAAGCGATGTTCATTGAAATGTGTTTTTGTTAGCGCGACCTACGCCAGAATGAAGATGAGAGTGTTGGCCATGTAGCCGACCATCTCCCAGAAGTAGTGCAGGCTCTTCTTGTTCTCCCCCGTGAACGCCGTGTTGCCAAAAGCGGCGAAGAAGCTGCCAAGGACGACAAAGAAGATCCCTTCAGCTCGACCAGACGTCGTGGTTTGATTCAGTCTGTTGCAAAGAAGACTGTACAGGCCTGTCTCAAAAGGCGTCAGATCTGCGATTCGTTAGCAGACGTTCGTTATCACGCATGACGAAGCTCCACGCGAAGACGTTGCAATTGGTGTCTTCCTGAGAAGGGGCTTTAGGGTGCAACCTATAAGCGTTTCCTACAAATTCCACCCAGTCCGTGGCACCAATGAAGACGAAAACAGGTCTCGTGCTACGTTCAACTGATGTACTTATCAACTGCAAGACGCAATAGAATAAGGGGAGGGACTTTGCAGTCTCTCCCGCGCCATTGTAGATCGTGGTGCTACCAAACGGTCTGATTGCATGACAGCGATAATCCAGGGACTGGGTTCTGTAAAGTCGAAAAGAAGAAGGTACTCACACTCCGAGAAACATGACGCCAATGACGCCAGACACGGCCGCCTTCTCTTCGGACTGTACGCAGAGAAACGTACGAGGAATAAGCAGATGCGCTGACGTCACGAGGTCTAAACTTGGGTCAGCACTGTCGCAGCCGTTTGTAACGTACTCTCAGACGACGCTTCTTTGATGCTGCTTTGGGCGATTCACAAGCTTGTTGCAAGGCTTCGGAAGGACACTGCTCTGCCGGATGAAGTGCGAGGACGAGCACAGAATGATCAGAAGAGACATTGTGGCCGATAATTCGGCTCACTAACACCAGGTCGGGGCTAGGAATTGTTGCTGGCGAGAGACTAAACAGTTTGTGTTTTCACATGTTGCAGGGCTCAAGCCCCCGAGTGCGGTCAGGACAGAGTTTCCTTCGTTCTTACTTGGACACTTTTGAGGTAGTCTATGTTTCATCATTTGGAAACGTACTGCCACAGGAGCATTTCTTTTCTGATTCAGCAAAAGCGATGAGACACTCACGACGAAGTAGACCATGTAAGCCGCCGAGAGGGTGATCGTGATCTCGATGAGCGTGTCGTTGAAAACGAACCCCAGCCAGAAAATGGCGGCCAGGCCGAACCCAATGCCCATCGCTACCCTGCAGGACAAGAGTTTTGTAGTTTTCAAAGGCATCAATTGTGATACGATTAGAAAGAACCGCTCTTTGATGCAGATTTCAGACTCAGATTGGCATTCATTTTCAAAAGAGATTCGAAGAAGAGCGTGTCGTTAGACGACATTTGTTCGACACGGGCGGTAATCCTGATTGGGTGCGTAAACCTTCAAGGATACTTTTCAGACAAGTCTATAAAGCAAATCATGGAATTCAAAGTGCTTGAATGTGATGGAACGCATACGAAATCGAGATGCTGCTTCCCAGCGACGTTTGGTGCTTCTCATCACTTACTCGCGGAACAGGAACCGCCACAGTAGAGGGTTCGGAAGGCATCGAAAGAAGACAATCAAGAGAGTGATACAAGGGAATCTAGCGAGAGCTAATCAATAGTTCATGAAAGCGTGTCGTTGCAAAAGTCGTGCGCAATCCAAGGCTTTTGGCTCCTGGGAAATCGTATTACTTCGCAACAGCATGCGGGACAAACATACATGAGCGTTGTCCCCTTACCCGCCAAAAGAGACCCGCAGGAAGTAGACGATCGTGTTCAGAAAGTTGAACTTGCTGCCAAAGACGATCCGGTAGAAGAGGCGGAAGACGACAATGCCGGTTCTGCACAAGACTTTCATAAAGTTTCCATATATAACCAGATAAAGAAGAGCTTCAAACACAAAGATGCAAAAGAAGGTGACAGACTATGTTCAAGCACCATAAGCACGACCATTCAGAGCGTTCGCCATCCTTACTCAAGATTCCAACACGAGAATGGTCTAGATGTCCGCAGAAAAGATATGGAATTCCGCTACCCACCCAAAAGCTGCGAGCTTGGGAAACGCAAACCGCTCAGGATCCCAAACAAATTCGCTCGTGGTGCAACTCAAGCCGCCTTTGGATGGAAGCCTTTTTTCGTTTTCAACTCTTCTTGACACATACCTTCTCCTGACTGATCGAACATCAAACACGCGGAGATCAGGTGCAGCTTCTCCCGACCATCCTGCCAATTCCCGTGGGAAAGTCAGTGCAAGTTAGTCAGTCTGCTGCTGACTGAAATTAGTCTAATCTAATCGACATTAAAGCTGGCAGGATGGTCGGCAGAAGCTGTATATGTGACACTCGGATATGCGACCCACCCGTCGTTCATGAGCGACTCTCCCTCGATGATGGTATTAAGTTTCTTGCTCGCGCCTAGTTCTTTTAGGAGAGCAACCACAGCCACCGGATCGGTGGCGCTCAGAAGGCCGCCCAGGGTGAGGGACAGGCTCCAGCTCCACGAGTAGGGAAACGCGTACTGCAAAACGTTTGTTGGTTAGTCAAACCGGAAGATCAAAGTCGACCAAATCTCGATGGAACTAACGGTTACTTTTGTATGTGAGAGGGACAGGCTCCAGCTCCACGAGTAGGGGAAAAGCGTACTGCTAAAGATTTGTTGGTTGGTTCAACTGCCAAATAACCCAAAACACTTACAACAGCTGTAAAGTTCACAGTTGTTGAGACAGGCTCAAGTGCCACGAGTAGGGAAAAATCTACTGCAAAACAGGGATGGTTGGGTTGAAAATAAGGGCAAAAGTAGATCAAACAAATACGATGGAAGCTTTCCTGGACCAAAAAGTCTCTCTTTGCGGCGGTAAAGATAGATGTTGACGGTTTCGGAAACAGCCTGGCTAGAGATAGAGAGATAGAGAGATTATTTGTTGAGGCATAAACCAGCAAGACCTCAAGTGAGAGCATTCTGGGGAAGGATTGGGTCCAAAAGACTATGAGCATACCCATCCTGAGAGAAAGGTCAATGTCAAATTCAGCCGCCTCGTTGACTACTCTATGAGCCTCGAGGGGTCCTCACCTTGAGAGCAGCCCCCAAGAGGACGGTGTTGACAAGCACCCCGGGTCCGGCGAGCAGCGACATTTGCAACAGGCATTTCTGCAGCCGTGCACATCGCGTCATGATTCGAAAGGGTGCTTACAAGATCAGTCACGTAAAGTTCGACTTACATTCTCAAAGTTACAAAGCTTGATAGCTGCAGATGGTTTGGAGATTGCTAATGTGAAAATTCAGAGGAAGCAACTAGATTCGCACTTAAGTTTTGCTGTTTTTGCAACTCAAGGTACGACAAGACATGAAAGGCATCCAGGCGGTTGAGATCCGTGGTCACATTGGAGGGTGAGGTTAGTGAAAGACCTCCTGCCAGCTACCCGCTACGAGGTCCTTTCTGCAGATCACCTAGCTTTGCAAAACTGGCGCGTATACCAGATCTCCGCACAGCAACCGGTGGAGCCCTCAAATTACTCCAGACTCCTCCCGCTACTGAGCAATTTCAAGCTTGCTTTTATTTGGAGAAATTCTGTGGCACTCTGCAAGCCTTGACTCGACTTGGCCCCCTCTTTTTGTTCGACAGTCCACAACCTCCATCTAGCCTACTTTGTCTGCTTTAGCCAATCCTTGCACCCTCCTTGATGCCGACTTTTGCTCACCCTGACTTGATGAATCTCCATAGACATTGAGCTCTCAAAGAGGAGCGCCGGAAGAAAGATGAACAGGATCAGACCAGGCTCGATATTGGCCCCTGCACAAGAACGCGGGTAGACCAATGAGAAAACTATTCAAGCAGCGACGCGCTTCTTGAAATGGAGAATGGATGAAAGGGCCGAGACAACGTTGGCAATTAAGCGCGCTTCCCTTGGCCTTCTATAGCTTTTGAGTAAGTAGGAATCATTTCTTCGAGAGTTGATGAGATGAGACAGGAGAGTGGTGGCAGTAAGGCGACAAAAATTGTAGGTCACAGGAGAGTTGTGTCAACGTAATGAGACTGGGCCTAAATGTAAGGAAAAACAGTGCAAAGGATTGGAAACAAGCCTAGAAACACTGCAGCAGCTTTTGGGGAGGGGCCCGAGTGTCTATGGCAACTTCATTTTCCAATACATGTGGAGCATATGTGGGAGGCATCCCATCAATGAAATGCGCAGATCATTGCCGGCCATGCGCAGAACCAATTACGAGAAAAGCAATGCAAAGCTTCATGGCAGGTCATCAACCTTACGACTTACATATCTGGATACTCTCTCCCAGCGTGCGCAGGCCGTTGTGTAGCTTTTGATCTGCGCCATAACACAGAACTGGGTTTGAGTTTCTAGGAAACCAGGTTGATTTTCAGAATACAGCATGCAACGCAGGAGTCTTTCAGCATCCTATGTCATGTGGGCTTCATCAGGAATTTTCTTTTCAAAACTGATCCCTGCAAAGCGACAGGCAAAGTGCCCCTTTCCTTGACGTGTCACCTTTCAGATGTTTGTTTCAGAAACCCCACAGTCGTCACTAACCTTCAAGAGTTGGATTTTCCCTTCTCATGCAAGGCAAGGACATGCCTTTCTTTGTTTGAGCCACCAAAATTTACGGTAGGCAGTCAGGTTGGTGACATCATCTTAGCATTTTTCAGCAGACAAAAAGCAACAGCGAAAGCACTGAACCGAAATGATTGGCAAGTCGAAATGAAATCCTCCTACTCTTAGCTGAAAAGTATGGGCCATTGCATTTGTCTTTTCATTGGCACCTTCTTGCAATCTCTGCACCTTGCAGGAAAGCCAATCAAGCCCAGAAATCCAGAGTGCATTCTGCTTGGATGCAGTTCTGACAGATTCCCAGCATGAACCAATCCCAGAAAGGCCTATGCTTTGAGCCCGCCCCTCAAATATATGCCAACGTGACAGAGTTACGCCTCCCATGAAGAGGAGATGTAAGAAGCTGTAAATGGCTGCTCACCAAGGGCTCCCAATATAATGCCGATCATCAGCAGAGCAACGGTGTACGGAACCGGCGTGCGCGCAAACACCTGTTTGCACAGCGCCCCAAGAATGAGCGCCACCCCAAAAAAGAGGATGGCGACCTCCGGTTTGGAGGTCTCGCTGACGACCGTCTCTGCTGAATCCATGCTGAGAGGAACCAGAGGCGCAAGCTGGGCCTAGGTTGATTTTTATGTGCTGGTTGCTATTCTGACCCAGGGCCTAAACCAAGTAATGCTGATGTCCAGTGTTGAATGGCCAGCTCCTAATCCCTTATGCCAGTGTCCAAGTTGCTGAGCAGCTGTGTTCGAAGTGTCTGCACTCTTGTTACCCCAGATTGTCTATAGTATTGTTTGTGGAATCCAAAAACCATTCAGCCCGGTAATAAGGACCAAAGACTCAGGAAGCAACTCTGAGTGAGGCGCTTAGAGCAAGAACCACATGGGAGCAGTGGGACTTCACACCACTTGCAAAATTTGTTGTGCAGAGTCAAAGACTTTTGTTGTTCTGGTGAGTTGCACAGGACGCCCCTGGATACTATTCACACTTCGCTGACATGGCCCGCGGTCATATGAGAAGTCACTTTCCTTTTTCCACCACCACGCTCTCCAATTCTAATCGAACCACTGTCAGATTCGTTTGAGCAAAAACATGATACGAGCTTAGGGCCCAACTGAGAGGGCAATTTCTTTTCTGAGAAGCACCTTGGAAGCTGTGCAACACCAATGCTAGAGATACACTTGATGATATAAGCAACTCTCCGGCACAAGAGCTGGCAACAAGCCTGTGCAACGAGGCAGAAGGCGAGTTGAAAGGCGGAAGGCTTACTTAGACGCAAAGCCTGACAGGGTGCTTATCAATCACGGGTCACAAGCTGTATACACGCAAGCTCCCTCCGGAGCAGCTTTGCGGTTTGCGGCGACGAATTTACAGAGCATCTGCTGGCCTTCTCGCTAAGTTACTTTCTGCCCTAAATGCACAATGCTGACCAGCACATTTGCCTGCGCCAGAGGAACGACTGCACCTGCTTTGAATGCTTTCCAGTGGAAGGCATCTGCTCAGCTCCCTTGCCTGCATGAGCTGAACGGAAGAGAGAGTGGACTCTGGTTAGAGGTAAAAATGTCGACAGAATCAGAGGGAATCTTTTTGCTGGAGATGTCGTCATCAACGACGGAAGTAACTCTTGCGTCACGCGCGCATGCAAACCGTCCGATGAGCGGGCACATGACCTTGATGACGACAGCAAGGGAATCTAAAACGCTGGCCGGCGGCCGCGCCCCTATACCTTGCCAACTTGTGTATCGCACGGTTAGCATTGTTCCGAAGAGGATCTTAGTACGTCGGAAAACTCAATCCGACGGATAAGGATCGGCAGAGCTTGTGAGAATTGGCTCGACGCTTGAACGCTTAGTATATTACCTAGTTTACTAGTTCGAATACCGTACCTAGGTACCAACCTCGCTCAGCAGTGAGCACACAGGCCGGCTCGATCCCATTCAAAAGCTTCATGCTTGTGCTATTGTGTATCTAAACTCAGTAAGAAAAGCGATTGCATGCAATAAGCTAGTGAAAGCTTTCAATAAAGCGATGCGGTAGTACTCCGTCCCGTCGAGTCTCGTGCGTCCTTAGAAGGCTAGAGCTGCTCTAGCGTCGGAGGCTGAACATTTTTTCTCAGCCTCTGACAGGTCGGAAGCAACCGTCTCATCACGCAACAGCTTGACTCAAAGTTAGTATACATTCAACCGCTCGACCAACTTATTTGCCATGCTTTTTTCCAGACTAGCTCAACGTCTGGAACAATGGCGGACACCCGGCCATGTGTCGAACCAAATTGAACCCTGCAATACCATGCATGCCCTAGAAACTTTCTTTCGACAAGCAGTCCCATCATCCATGGCAGGTGACGGGCTCAACTCCATTTAGACTTGTGAAGAGTCTTGCACAAGGATTGTGGGATATCCAAGACGGGAGCTGCACGAGACTGTCATATAATTTCGCTGCACCGGTCCAATACGAAGACGTGGCGACAGCGTTGATCGGAGCAGCGCCAACCCATACAATGCGAATGCTGAAGAAAATTAAGTTCGTAAGTCCAAAATCTTCGCACTCTTTGCATCATCTGTTACAACGGAGAATAAGTATGCCACGTCTGTCACTTCAGCTCCGACATCTTGCTGCTGGTCATTTAAGGACAAGATAACTTATTTTCCAAAGAGGCTCGCCGGCTCGACCTTAGATTCTCCGTGACCGTCCTCTCTTGATCACACATCAAGTCGGATATTCACAACTCGGTCTAGCAACTCAGCAAAGCGAACACTATTCCCGTTCTACCTCATGCCAACTTAAAATGGTCAACAACGTAGTCTACCTCGATAGCTCACCGCCTTTGCCCTTTCCGGCATGACTCTCAATGGATCGACTCTCCAGGCGAAGCGTCTTACTGTGCTACCAAAATCCTCACGGGAGCAAGTTGTACCGTTTCTCGGTCATTCCCCCAACTCCTGGCACCAATTCGATCAACGTATGCAACGGCATGTCTATGTGCGGGACTTCTTTTAGCGGCTTGTCGGCAAAATAGCCATACAGCGCCCTCAACACGGCTTGGTGCGCAACTATCACGACAGCAGACCGTTGCCGCTCTAGTTCGATGATGACGGGCTCCAGCCGCTGGATGACGTCAAGGTACGACTCGCCAGCGGGGTAACGATAGCGCAGCTTGTCTCGTTTCCTGCACAATGGACAATCCGTCCGGGTCAAAATTTGCATCCGAACATTCTGAACAGCAGTAAAGCGTGCAATGTCGACGTGTCGTTCACTGAAGTTCTGAAATAAGATGTTAAAGGAGGGGCTCCTGTGCTCCCCTGAGAATGTAGTCTTTCGATGCGTTCCCATCTTCAGCAAGCTCGCAGCAGAAGCATCACACAATTTTTGCCAAAGTCAGGCGGCTGATCGTTGGTTTAAACCCCTCAAGAAGTGACTAGATTCAAGAAAAGGAGACACCGATCCATGACACGGGGGGCCGGTTTCTCCTGCAAGTATGAAGCCGTCACAGCCTCGTGCGTCGAAACGAAGGTGCGAAAAGACATTTGCGACGTCATCGACACCCGAAGCTCTAAGCTCTAAAGTCCAGAAACCTTGAAGCGAGGGAAGGGGGCGCCGCCGCACCTGGCTTTGTGCTCCTCAGGCATCTTCTCCTTGATGTCACCATACGTCATCCCGTCACAAACGCCCGCAGCGATCTCGTCCAGCGCGCGCCATTGCACCTACAAAAGCGTACACATAAGATTTCGACCGAATAGTAAACATAAGCGGATGACAGAGCTTCTTCCGCAGACCCTGCCGGACAAGAAGCAGCTTTGGATATCTGTAACGGATCAGCGAGGAACACGTGTTGACGGGGTCAGCACGAACGAAGGACAATGTTGACCAGTCTTGACGTCAGCATCATCGGACTGCCATCCAAAACTTTTAGGACAGCAGAAACGTCGAAGAAGCTGGAAACGAACGATTGGCCCGGCAAGCTTGAAGAAGACTTGTTGGACCGTTTTGTTTGCTTTGCAGGTCAGAAGCAGTCGCAGATCGCTGTCAGGTGCACGTCGGTCTTATGTCGGTTGCTCTCATCAAAAACGACTTAAGCTTGAAACCGTGGAGTCGAGTTGCCCAATGTCCAGATAGGCCCCAGGCAGGTGTGTGATGTTACTCGATCTGTAGAGCCAGACTTTCGTGTCTCACTTTGCTCAAGCCTATGGCAGCTCTTCACTCTCTTCTTCGTTCGCTATCCTCAATTCAATGATCTTGCCTCAAGGAAAACCCTAACCGCTTTGTTAGGCCCTAACCCGCGCACCTTGGGATACCCCACGATGTAACGCGCGGTCAGCAGCGTCCGCTGCAGCGTGGACGTCCAAACGGACGCCGCCGGCTCCTGCTTCAACCGCTTGTGTAAAAATTCCGCGAGTTTGGGGGCATAAGCCTCCCCCCGGGAGGACAGAGGGGGATCCCCTCCGATGCGGCCCTCCACGTTGTCCTGGCTCTCCCCGTGGCGGGTTAGGAAGATGGGGCGGGCCGTGATGTGCACATTTACCTGAAGTTAACAAAAAGGGTCAGGTTCTAGGGCGTTTTTGGCTTGGTTCTTTGACAAACTGGGATTCTGAAAGATGCTCGGGATGTGGGCTGGCTCATAAGGCGTATGGGGGCCGTCATGCGCACGCCTACCTACAGACGGCAAGGAAGACCTTAGAATCTTTGCAGACCGGAATCGGAGGTGTCCGCAGGCTCTGGGCTCCGTTCACGAGTTTCCTTCAAGCGAGTGGACTGACGTGAACGACCGTATGACAGATTGCAAAATCCATGGGCTTGTCGCCCTCCCATGATTGCACCACTGCAAACACGATAGCCCGTCTAAGATCGCCACTAAGCAGACACGACGACTCGAGAACGCAACGTATGGATAAATAAGCACGCCCTTGAGTAGAAAGAAGCGGTGGATGCCTTACCAGGTAGAAGACAATCCGCCCGGGAAGATAGCCGCTGATGTTCTTGACATGGATCTGGCCCCCCGAGCCGTGCACCATGTTGATCAGCTTGATGCAGCTGCCCTCGTTCACGGGCTCGTACGCCTGCGCGCGCAGCAAGTATCGAAATTCTCTCTCCAGTTGTTGGAACGCTCGAATGTTTTTGGTCACCGAGCTAATTTTCCTGTTCGCGTCGAGTGTACCTCAAACAAGATGAGGGGACAATCTCAAAAATTCCCAAGGTCTGCAGAGAGGCGCCCGGGTAGAAGCAAAGGGCGGCACTCTGCTGGGCAAGGACTCGGTAGCTATGAGAGCGATTGCGCTGGATTTGCGCAACACCTTCGCAAAACGCTCCCGTCTGTAGCTAGACTCACCTTTTGACGTTTGACGACCTTATTCTCGTTGTAGCTGGAGGCGTTCTGGGAACATAAGAAATCTATTCTTGTCAGTGGTTGGGCTCACCTTTTGATAGTTGGCGATCCTGCTCTCGAGGTCTCGGACTGCGGCCTCCTTGTCGAGCCAGTCCGCGTAGTCCGGGCTCGTCCGCACCTTCTCCCGGATGTTGCGCTCCACCAGAGAAGCGTCGTCGCATATGCTCTCCAAAAAGATTGCCTGCGGAAAGCACATCGACCAGGGTTTCGCCAGTTCTGAATATACTGAGTTTTCCTTATCTTAAGTTAGTCCGCTCCTTTTCTTGGATACTGCGCTCTTCAGGAGAGGCGTCGTTGCATACGCTGTTCAAAAATCATGGGCTACACAGAGCACGTTCATCAGGAGCTCGCAATGCTGAGAGATCGGTACTCAAGAGATTATGAGGCACTGAGGACTTCGAGTCGAATGTTGCGCTCCGAGAGTGCCCCCGGCGCACAAACCCTTCGAAAAGAGTCGCATGACAACCCAAGTTGCTTCGGGGTTCTGCGTTTCTGAGTTTGAGGAGATTAGGAATCGAAGACTGACAGCTTTTGGGCACTCCCGAGCTGTAACCAGGCGTTTGCGCTCCACGATAGTGGCTTAAAGCGCGCGCTTTTTGAGAGAACCGCCTGCGAGAACACTCCGCTTTTTTCAGCACTGTTCTTACTCGTGAGGCCTGGTAAGATTTCTGGGTCCCCTTTTAGGTTCGTTGTAGAATCTTGGTCGTCTACCAATATTGAGTCCTGAAGGCTGAGAAGTCGAAACGGCCGCCGTTCGCTTCAAGAAAGATTTGAAGCTGCCGCACGCTCCGCTTCTTCTTGTAAGGACAAAACCGCAGGATTCCGTGTCAGATTGTTACTTCACACCCCCGGGGCCCCACCCTAGCAGCATCGTCTGTGCACCGCCAACGCTTTGCTTCTACATCTCTGAGTTCCGAAAGGCTTGGTACTCAAGCCCAGAATATTTGAGAGTTTACAGCTCTTTCTCACCTTGCAGCGCCCCTCCGCCATTTCTAGCAGCATGCGCCGCCGCGCCGCCGATGAGTTGGTCGCGTCGAAGCACGCGACTTGCCCCCCCTCGTCGAACCACTTCAGCATCGCTTGGAACGTCGCGACAGCGGCCTCGCGCCGGGCTTCTTGGCCCGCATCGTTATCTGCACGGGTCGTTCTCCAGCGTCGATGTCTTTCAGTAACATTTTGTTTTGAAAGCTTCAGTGATGAAAAAACGACATCAAGGGTCTTTCCTCTTTGACCCGTCTCACTGTTTTTGGGCACGTCAGAAGAGCTGCAACGGGCCCAGTCTTCTCGCCTTCGCCTTTACTCACACCACGAGCCAACCAACCATTTAGCATCGACGAAAATTGAGAGTGCGAGTTGCTTGAGGACACGTTGCGCACTTGCTGCTGAGATGGAGATTCGGACATGTCGAAGCCGCGGCTGGGCTTTCCACAAGAGACGTCTTATGCACGCAGCGAGACCAAACCTGGCGATGTATGTAATCAGACTCTGCGCAGCAATCCTGCGCCTGATTTCCTCACAACGGGTCTGTTACTCGAGACCAACTCGTCTAGCAAGCTTCAAAGAACGTCAAATGCTTGGGATTGGGCCTTAAGACAAAGACGTCAAAAAGCCAGAGACGCTGGAGATCTTGCAGTTTGAAACAAACTCCTCTCCCATAGCAGAAACAAAAGTTACACCAGAACACTTGGCACTCTTTCCGTACCTGGGTCAAAGAAGCTGGCGGTGTGACCTGCCCCGTGCATCTGCCGCCGGAACGAGCCGACGTTGAAGTGCTTCGTCTCGTGACCCAGCCACCGTAGATACTGCGTCAGCTTGGCAGCCGTGTAGCTCTTCCCCCTCGCAGGTAGCCTGCGCAGGAGTCAGGCTCCCATTCGAATCCAGAATGAAAAGGAGGAGACGTCTAGAAACCGGTGACACTGAGTATAGTATGTCGAAAATAAGGTGAAAATCGCTCGGGCGAAATTCTTGCGGGCTTTTTATGAATGTTCGGCCGTCTGGCCCGCTTTCGATTCAGCTCTTCACAGGGTCCGCGTTTGCGGAAGTCTCCGAACGCAGAGGGAGAACAAGCCGAGTAGACGCCAAGCTTCGAAGCTGTCCAGTATAGTTCTGGGCAGAAAGTGCGGTGAATCAACTGGAGCAGAACCGTCTAGATTTGCTAAGTAGTGACTTGTCGAAGCCTTCCGAAAAGGTTCCAGTCGATGTTTGGCAGATCTTTGTTTGAACCAAGGGAAGAGACAAAGTAGTGACATCGATGTGAGGTGCTTGAAGTTCTCACCCGACTAATATGATGGCCAGTTTCCGCTTCTCTTTGGGCCCGTCCATCCGCTCCGAGATGGCCGCCGCAGCGACCGCTGAAAACGGAATTACGAATGGTCAGCCAAAGGACAGTGAAGTAGAAGCCACCAAATCAATCGGCCATGTTCTGGTCATCAAACAATTGACCTTAGCCGCAACCTGAACCCAGAGATGTTGCGGCTGTCTCGTCCCTCGGTTCCTCTCAATCCGTAAGGGAGCGCCTCTCTGAGCGGCTCAAGTCTTGTATGAACCCCACGTGACTCTGGAGATATTATAAAATCCAATGGCATGTCTCGGACCCCTGAGCGGAACCATATCTTTTCGACACTCTCTTTTACTGGAAGCACTTTTGTGGCGACCTCGTTCTCCGAAAGGCCTGGCTTCGCCTAAACTCTCACATCCAAAAAGCACAACAGCCCAGGTGCGCCCTGATCCTCCTCTTCCGCGGGGAAGCCTTGTTTGGCAACCACCTTTCGATTCGCAGGTCGAAAAAGGCGAGCACTTCTTGGACATTCATTTGTCAACATCCTTAAGCCCTCAAAAACCCAAATGACGGAATCCTCACCCCCGGCGGCGGCCAGCATGTCCGTCTAATCCTCCTCCTCCACCGGGAAGCGCTTTTTGCAGCGAGAGTCGATGTCGAAACTCCCACGACGAAGAAGGCGAACGCTTCTTGCCTATTCTTTGGCTAAACCCTACACCCTACCCAGGAGACATTATCCTCGATACCTCGCTCACCTCCAGCAGCGGCCGGAATGTCCGTTTGATCTTCCTCTTCCACGGGTTGAGGAACTCTCAAAACGAAGACATCGAGCGTGTCTTTCACAGCCACTGACCAAAACCCTATACGCCTCAGTAACCCAGAACACAAAGCTTCAAAAGTCAACCCACCTCCAGCGGCGGCTGGCATATCCGTCTGATCCTCCTCTTCCACTGGGAAGCGCTTGTGCTGCGAAGCCGGACTGCAGAACTCCCACGATGAAGAAGACAAGCGCGCCTTGCGCATTCCTTGGCTGAACCCTAAACCGCAAGCCTTCCAAACGACGTAATCCTTGACACCTCACTCACCTCCAGCAGCGGCCGGCATGTCCGTCTGATCTTCCTCTTCCACGGGTTGGAGAACTCCCAAAACGAAGACATCGAGCGCGTCTTAAACAGCCACTGACCAAACTCCTGGACCCCTTAGAAACCCAGAACACAGAATCCCAAAACTTTACCCACCTCCAGCTGCGGCCGGCATGTCCGTCTGATCCTCCTCCTCCACCGGGAAGCGCTTGTGCGGCGACCCCGGGTTGGAAAACTCCCACGACGAAGACAGCGAGCGTTGCACGTGCGGGGGCAGGTTCTCGCGCTTCAGCGACGGCGCGCGGCTGAGGACGGGGTCGAGCTCGTGGGCCAAATCAAACGCGTTGAACTGGCTGTGCGCTTGGTAGGGGGGAGACCAATCCTCGGCGCTCTGAGGTGGGGGGGAGAAAGCAAAGTGAGATAAGGAGTCGTAATGGCAAAAGGGTTGAGATCGGCAGGCGCTCTGAAAGTAGAGAGGAATCGTACACGCAAAGTACATTGTTGGTGAGAAGATCGACATGGAATTTTCGGAGCTGGTCATGCGTGAGCAGGTTTGGAGTAGCCAAACCACGGTTCTCACAGCAATTTCCTTCAGTCGTCGGCTTTGCCTGCGACCAGCTCCTCAGAGGAGCTTTGTCGAAACACTCTTGGAGTTGCAACCGACTGGTTAGAAGAAAGGCGAAGAGGACCTATCATGCCGACTCCATCTTCTACTACGATTTCTTAGGATCGGAACCCCCTACAGAACGGAGTTAAAAGTGTTCGAGCAAATTACTGTAGTAGCTTTAAGATTCCTGCCCACCAAAAGCGCAAGAGCAGGCCCCATGTCATTTCCATTTCGGTAAGTCCCTGGCCCCTTGCCTTCCCTCCCCCCTCCAACACCTTCTCCAGCAGCAAGGAGGTTCTTATTGAGGACAGACAGGACAAGGCAGAAAACCTCAAGATAGGTAACTTACGCTGCCTGCTGACGTGGCAGTCCCCGGCTCGTCGTTCTCTCCGGCCCCCTCCTCCGACGCCCCTTCCTCGGACCCCTTCTTCAGTCGGAAAGTAACCAGCCAAAGCAGACAGCAAACATTGAAAATTACAAAATGAGGAACCTACGCTGCCTGCTGACGTGGCGGTCCCCGGCTCGTCAATTTCTTCGCCCTCCTCCTCCGACGCCCCTTCCTCGGACCCCTCTTCCAGCACCAGGAGGTCTTTCACGCTCAGCACGCGCGCGCCCATCGCCGATTTTAGCCGCGAGAGCGAGTTGAAACCGGCGCGCGCAGGCTCTGAGATGGAGCGCAGCAGACGGGGCTCCTCCGTCGAGTTGGCGAGGTAGGGGAGGGTGGGGCTGTCGGCATCCTGGAATGAAGGGCGTTTTTTTCGTTTCGTTTCGCTCTTGTTTTCGAACTGTCTTTTGGGCGTGACCTTTCTCATCAGCGTTTGGGCCATCAAGGCTCGTTACTCTCTCAAGTCTTGACTCCAAAAAAAAAAAGGGGTTTATGGCGCCTCCAAGTCTGCAGCAAGTCCACTCTTCCCCAACAAGAATGGTTGCTATGGGGAGAGCCACTTGAGGTCTGTTGACGTCTCCGGCGCTCCTGAATGCAACAAGAGTCTCAGCCTTGGCCACATCGACTCCCTGGATTCATGACCGTATACACCGTCTATTTGTAGCTAGAGTGCCTGAGAACAATATGTCTACTGCGTGATTTGCAAAGGCCAGGAAAAGCCGGAAATGCAGGCGACTCACCTTTCTATCATAGCTTGTAAGAAGACTGTCCTCTCCAGGGCTGCCAATTTCAAATGCATCTGCAGCGAGCATGGACGATGACGTCAGCGAGCATGGACGATGACGTCAGCGAACATAAACGATGACTTCGGCTCTGCCGATCCGCTGTGCTCGGCTCCGACTTACGATCCGCTACGAAACAGCAGATAACGCTACGCCAGCAAGGACGCAATGGTATTGCGTACTTAAACAGTGAAGTTCTGACTTTACGACCAGCGTCAAACATGACTTCTGCAATAACAAGCCTGATGTTTGAAAGTCAAAGGTGACGCCTGATTGGCTCTCAACTACCTTTCAGTAATCTGACTCAATTCGATGAGCCTCCTTGAAATGGCCCACATATTTTGGAAAACGTTCGTCATCGTTCACTTTGACAAACCGATGCTAACAAAGGCCATCTTTACGCCAACAAATGACCCATAAAGCGCATTTGAGAAGGAGGAGAACATGGGGAGAAAGGAGGGGGTTGGCAGAAAGACAAACCAAGAAGGATGCTTCCGACAATTTCAGGTTACTCACCCCCCTGATTGTCCTGTGCAGGAGAGTGCAAGCATCCCCCCAGCTCGAACGCGCTTACAGGTTCGGCAGCAACGACGACGGTGCATCGCAAAGAGTCTGTCTTGTTGGCCCCAACAGAAAAGCTGGCGGAGTCGCCAGTTGGCGGGGGCCCACGCAGGTAAAGAGCGAGGCTGCGAGGCTCGTCGCGTGTTTCTTGGACGGTTGTTGAGTTGGTGGTCAAGGAGAAGAGGAAGCCGCCAACTAGAAAAGGAGCGATGATGGAAAGTTGGTAAGTCGACGAGAAACTACTAGGTTGTGTGTCTGTTCTTTGCACGGAGTAGGTGCCAGTTTTCGGCAACAACAAAAGGTTCAACAGATATATAGTAAGTCACCCGGGTAATTCTCACAGAAGTCATGAAGATGTAAGCAAGTAGAGAAGGCCTTACAGGCTTTACATGGTAATGTGGGTCTGAATTGCCCAGTGTTTGCTTACAGAGCGGCTAGCGCAGTCGCTGGTTGCTGGCTCTTCAGCACTTCAAGAAAAAGCCCATTGGGCACCAAAAGCGAACAGAGACTTGATGGTAGAACGAATGCGCGGATCGATTGCTTTGAAAAGTTTGTTGAACAAGCCCAGGATGTCAGCGCCGTTGAAACCCGCCGATTTGGAACAGGGTTTTAGCAGTGTTGTCCACTTGGGCCGAGCTTTATTGGCGGTTGCTTCATGTTCCCCGCTTGTGCAGATGAAAGGAGGTTTCTTTACGGAAGTGACCAGTGACTTTGAAATTGAGTTTGTCTTTGACTTCCGCTGCCTGCTAGTCTTGGTTTGTCCTGCTGTTTGTCCTCTTGAAGAAGAAACTCAGAGTGCCTCACCAGTTTGTTCAGTCAGCGTACACAAAGTGAGATTCTCAAGTTTGGGGTGAAACTTCTGATTTCACCGCGACCCCTGAGAATAACAACAAATGGACCAGGAACCTGAAGCGGATTCTGCTATGCAACCCTTCCGACGGCCCCAGATTCACCTGCATTCTGCGGTGCGATGAATGCGAGGTGCCACAGGCCCGCCACCTGGTTGTACGCCATTGGCTGCTGCCCAAATGCAAACACAGGCCCATCCTCTTTTCCCAACGGAGCTGCAACTAGGTGCGGAACAAAGTCCGGCGGAAGCGGTCGCACGCCGCTGCTCAGCTGAACGGTCAATAGGCACTGCTGGACAGACGTCATACTACAGAACAGCTGGGTCAAAGCGACGTGACTGTAGTCAAACAGCGATTACAATGCAGGATAAGACCCAGCATTCTGTTTCGAGGGGGCAGCATGAGAGAACCTCCTTGCACGTGCTGCTTTGAAGGGGTTTTTGAGAAGACAAGATACGTCAGCTCCTCCTAAAATCCCTCTTGCCTACCTATTCCATATTAGAGCGCAATCATGATTCCTGTGCGCTTCTTCTTTGCTAGGTATCACGAGAGAAGAGCTCTGCTGCAGCCTGCAGTGCCCATTTCGCACAGGATCGTAAGATTCGAGTCTCTGTACCGTCAGATCTGGATTTGGCCTGGTTCGACGGCTCTCGACCTGCCCAAGATCCGACGGCCGGATCTGCTTCTTCCGGGTACATATAGACAATCGACGACTCTCGCGATTGGGCTTGCACGCAACTTTCTCGGGACCGGAGCGGAGTCAAGAGGTGGTTGCCAAAAAGTGCAATCATCACGATCTGAGGTCTCGCGACCATTCTGCGTGCGTGCATCGCAATGCTACCGAATCGCAAATCCTGCCCAGATCAGCAGCGCATTGCCGGCCGAATATACCAGGCTGGAGCTGGCCGCAGTTTTCTAAGATAGGTACTTGTGTGATGCAATGGTACGGTCACAACTTTTGGGTCGGACTAGAATCGGAGTTGAGCCAGCTGGAACGGCTCAGGTCGAAAAAACCAGCCAATTGATCTGGATGATCTGATCATGATGGATCTGAAATGGGGCCATGAAACTTCAACGCCTGGTTCTTGCATGCGAATTTGGCGAGTAAAGTCATTGCATCGTCTTGCAGTAGCTATACAGAATCTGCCCATGGGAAGACAATTTGAGTGGTGGAAGGTCTAGATTTGTATTTTATATTTCAGCAGCTAAGTTTCACGTCGGTATGTCCAACAATGATCACGTATCGCAAATCATGCACACTACTGGCCTAGCTTTATCTCAACGATATTAAATTAAAATTAAAGCTGAATGTGACTCTTTCAGCCCCTTGAACAAGGCAGCAACAATCCCGCGAAATCAGCCCAACTCTTGATCTGAGTATGGTACTGTGGATCCAACCCTCCCCGGTGCACAATCCTGCACGCTTTTTACAATGACACGTCGTGTGAGAGAAGCTAGCATTGTGACATTGGCGAAATAAGGAATGCGGGCGAGGTCGATGAGGGCTTAAACTGAGGTTCCTCCTAGGCAAACTTGTTTCCTGGTAGTCTTGATGCCGACATGAGGGCCCCCGCAAGTGGTGGCATTGGGGATAGAGAGGCACCAGGAATTGGAAACGTAATGCTGCGCATGTTTGATCACTTTTGAGACGCTTAGCGTGGATTGCTGCCCAATGCTGATGCGGGGTCGTCATAATGGAAGGGCGCAGCCGTGAGGGATCCCTCCGCCGCACGATGGCGGAGTATGGCGAGGTGCTTGACTTGGACGAGCGAAAACCGGGGAGTGGGAATTGGCTGGATGCGAATGCATCACAGGGGGGGGAGGACGGGCAGTTCGCCAATTCGTTTCTGTATCTGGAACAGGCAAGTCGGATGGACATTCCTTATGGGCTGGTTGGTTAGTTGAGGAACGCGTTGCTTTAATCAGGCAGAGGCTGAGAATATCACTTGGAAAGCAGATTGCGTGCATGCATGTGAGCCGCGGGGTTGCATAAATTGATTGATCATGAACAGGAGGTAGTTCTGCTGCTAGTATATTTGTAGCAATGGGTTGGGCAGAATACAAGCAGCATGACTGCCAAAACCTTACATGCCTTGTTTTTGATCCTCCTTGTTTTTGTTCAAGAATTGCGGGCAACTCAACTTTCCGTTTTCAATCAGTTCCAGGCGGGAGGGTCTGGCGACTTCCCCCCCTCGGACTTCAACCCCGACCACCTGCTGAACGCCGGCCTCTCGAACGACTTTCTGGGGGGGCTTGAACCGCTGCAAATCCTCCCCCCCAGCACAGACGCGCACGAGGCCGGGGGTCTGCTCCACAGCAACAGCTGGCGGGGCATTGCGGACTATTACGTCAACAACCAAGGGGAGCAAGTCGAGCCCCTCCCTGAAAGATACGTCCTCCCGCAATGGGTCAAAGACTTGCGCATCGGGCCGGGAGCAGTGCCGACGGTAAACCTAAAACCTCCCGGGGGGGTGCTTCTCAAGGGGCTGGGCACCCCCCTGCCGCCGTCCCCGCGGTCGATCAGAGCAGCGGTGCTGGGCCTTCCTGACCTCAGGGGTGACGTCACGCCGTGGGGGGCCGAGGCGTTTGGTGGGGGGGAGGGAGATTGGAGGACTCGCGGCGCAGCGGCACGCGTAGGGGGGGGGGACGGAGCGCAGAGGAGAGAAGAGGACGGGGCTGCAGCTGGCACCCCCCTGCCTTGGGTGAGTTCTATGCCCCTTGTCAAAAGTCAGCAGATGACGAAGTCGTCGCAGAAAACGACACACGAGGCACGAAGCAAGTGACCACTATAGATCCAGTGCCGATTCCGCTTGCGCTGCTGCCAACGTGCGCTCTGCCGCCCCTGTGTAAGGGTGACCTGAACCGCGGAGCCTGTTGCGTTGTTCTGCGGTCTGAACAGCATACAGCAGCTCAAAGTGCAGTGGTATAATCCTCAAATGAACCAGCTCAATGAAGGCATGAAAGCGTAGTTCTTGGCTTTTCTGGCCGGCCATGTTGCACAACGAGACGTTCTGCTAATGGGTGGCAGCAGTCCAATTGTAACGGTGCAACGTCCTAAGAGCCCATCGGACAAAAGGAGTGACGATCCTCTGGTTGAAGAACGCGCCTATCGGGAAGCCGCATGCGTTGATCAGAAACCAAAAGGTGTGAAGAAACGGCCAGAGCCGGCAAGAGCCTTGACAAGAATTCGTGCAGAAACGGTCGATTCTGGACTCGTATGGAATCTGAGCTTTCGAGTAAAGAAAGGGCAGAAGGAGCCGCCAAGTATCCACTTTTTCTTTCCACTGCTTTTCACGGGAAAGAGAAGAGGTATGACCAGTTTTTTGTTCTGCTGACAGGCGAGCAGCCCGTATTATCCGGCGAGCACCCCGGGGCGCAAGCTCCTGAGCCCCACGAATCACAGCGCAGCAGAGCGGGTGAGACTCAACGAACTCAAGAGACTACATAATAAGCCGAAATTATATTAAGGTAACCGCACCGGGACGGCTAGGGTTATTTTGTTAGGGTGGGTATGGGTGCGGAGCAGGTGCAGGTGCATGCGCAGCAGGTATCTTTTTGAGTTAGCGTTTCTAGTGTTAGTCGGATCCAAATATTACCTTGGCTTATTATTATCTTTCTTGAGCTCCACCTCCGTTTGTGATGATCTTGTACTCGGGCTCGTATTACCACAGAATCCAGAACGATGAGGACGGAAGTTCCTAAGTTCGTATGAGCCAATAACTTCCAGCTGCATTTTGCATGCTAACCGCTGTTTCCTTGGTCGCGTCGACCCTCTCGCATACGTTGCAGATCCAGTCAGAAAATGGCTGGAGATCTAGCTCAGATCAGCAAGCTCTGCCGTAAGGAATTTGCGAAATTCTTCAACTCTTTCGCGCCTTCTTGCAGAGGCGACGAGATCGAATCAACGACCGCTTCGACATCCTCCGGCGACTCATACCGGGCACTCAGAAGGTGACTTCACCCTCACAAAATCGCCCGGTTTGTCATGTTTAGCCTGACCTGGAGAATGCCGATCGGCATGCTTGTACATTGCTCGGGCGGCCAAACGGGATATTCCGAGCGACATACGCAAGATTCTCCCTTGACTGCTAGAACGTCGTTCACGTTTCTCTGACTTGCTTTGCAAAGAAGGAAAGGTAACGGGTAATCAACCCCGTCTTTGAGCTTGGTACAGTAGCATCTTATTGCCCAGGCTATCAGGTGCCTCGGTGTCTTAAAGAACAGGGGGAAGTCTCATTAACGAACTGCACGCGTCACATCGCCACCCCACCCCTTCCGTCTGTGCCCTAGTACTTTTTCACCTTCTGACTCTGTGTGCAACAAAAACCAGAAAAGCACCGGTTTCGCCGCTCTTCGCCTGAGCTCACATCCGCTCTTCCCGACAGGCCGACAAGGCGACCGTGCTCAAGGCGGTGATAGACTACGTGAGTCGCCTCCAAGCGGCCGGGGCGGACAATCTGCTGCAGAAGGAGGCTACCGACGAGCAGACCGCCAGCCACCCGGTGCGTAACGCTACCCCTCTGATGAAGCTTGCCGTTACGGTTATAATATACGCAGAAAGGCACGATGCCGGCGTCTTCAGAAAAGTCCGATTGTCGATTGGGTGGCTTGGGAAGCGGACACTATAGAAATCGGGTGACGCAAGTTAGCGATTCGCCATCGGCCCCCTCAGATCTGGAGACTATCAGTTGGCTCTCCCCGGAGAATCGAGGTGTGCACCTTGACGTTTGCTCACACGCCTTTGACGGAATCGGCTGATTTCCCGCAGTGTTCAAGCGGTGCGACTCCTCCTCTGCTGTGATTTTTTTGCTTTGATTGCAACGGCTCACATCTCCACTCCAGCAAATTGATGTCTTCGGTGAATTCTCACATAAAGAGATCAGCACTAGCCAAGCTTGGTTGGTTAAGTGCCCTTCTACCAAAAGAACGTGGTTCACGTTTGCTTCGATGCACTTTGACCAAGTGTGGAGTAAGGATATAAGCTTCCGGTCATTGCACATTCCAGTCGGGCTCATCCCCCGGTTCTTTTCCCCTGCAGCAGCAGCAGGCTGCCATGTCGGAAGTCTACACCCCGACCGTGTCTGCCCGCAGCCCGGGCTGGTTGTCTGAAGAAGAGGAAGCGACCTCTCTTCAGGATAAGGTATGCTTTCCTCCGTGTCTTTACCAACGCTCAGTCTCTCCCAGTCACATGTAAGCTCTTCAGTCTCTACTCGTGAATTGTCCAAGCTAGACTTTGCCGGCTCATTTGACGGCTTCCAACAGGGGTTTCAGTCTTTGCATCCGACGTGCGTCCAGAGGAGAACGATCCTTTTCTTTCCTGTGTGACAAGGTTTCTCGATATGCGACTTGAAGAATCCGCGAGCGACTTCGTATGTGGTCTGCAATAGTTTGAGGCGTTCAGTTGCATTGACTTCAATGCTCAGTCAAAGACACCCAAGAGAACTTTCTCCGATTCGCCCGCGCATCATTCCTTCCTAACGCGCGCGCTTTCTATCTGCCCAGATTGCTGTGGACGTCCGCGATCAGTCATACGTCGTCCGGATCACGTGCCCGACACGCGGCGGGCTGCTGTTTGACGTCATCGCCACGCTCAAGCAGCTCGGCCTTGAGGTTAGACAACCTAAATTTTGCGGGCTGAAGACCGCCAAATTGATCAGCTTTGATCAGGAGCGAGTCCATAGAGGACTCGGATTACCTTGTATTTTGCGTTCAATTGGGGGGATCTGTTTCACAACGGATCCGGCAGAGTCCGATTTGGCAGAGTCCGAAAATTTGGAACATCGAACATTCAACTCTTCGGTAAAATTGACGTTCCACAAACTATTCGGATCTGAGGAGCAATGGCTGATCTCTGCCATGGTAGATGGGAGTGATTTACGCCGTTGAAGGTGTGCGAATCTTTTCTGCGGAAGAGCAGATGAGGTTCCGTTTGTTTCTCTGTCCAGGTGACGGACGGCGAGCTATCGTCCTGCCGCGGCCGCGTGTTGCACGTGTTCTACGTCCCCATCAGAAACGTCAGCAAGGAGGTCATCAAGGCCAAACTCGAGGTGCGCTTCTGTAGCCTGCCCTTGAAGTAGTGTTGTAAAAGCCCACTTGTGTCGTCGCTCTTTCTTCAGATTTTGAACAGAGGCTAGCTAACTGCAGTTGGGCCACTTGGGAACACTAGAAGTGCCACTGAAGTAGAAATCTCTATCTCAGCCTCGCCTTACCTCGGTCCGTTCAGTGCACAGGTCGTAATTGACGGCTTTTTATGGCAGTTCGCAATGAGCCGGTCAGCTATCACCGGACAATATCAGGATTAACCAAGCTTAGTTCAGGGCCGGTTCAGCGCCCGTCTACCGAGGAACACTGGTTCAACGCCTTCAACCCAATCGTCGTTAAGAGCAAAGCGTCCTGTGATACGGATGCTATTTCCAGATAGACTTGCCAGGTGTCATCAGCGCATTCCCCCTTCTCACGATTATTCTTCTCGTCCCAATCGGCAGGCCGCTGTGTTCCCGGGCCGGCACCAGGCGGTGAGCAGCCCCCCCCGACTGACCGCCCAGCTAGGGCTCCCCAAGAAAGAGGCCCTGGTTCTTCCTCACGAGCCCCCGGTGCAACTGCATGTAAGTTCTCGACTGCAGCACAATCGATAGAAGCTCTTTGGGTTCAATCAACAGGAAATTCCTGAAATTTGCAGGAAGTTTTGGTTACTAACCAGGCTGATAAGGAGACCTAAGTCTCAGCGTATTGAACAGATAAATCGGGCTTTAACCTCGGTCAGGGCTCGTTACCGCCCAAGTCTGGTCAATGGACATCTAACCACTTTTAACCAGCCCATAACCAGCCCATGACCATCCATGGGTAGGGGCCAAAACCTCCTGACGTGCCTTAAGCGCTCCGCATCCGTACCCACCCTAACCCTTTGGAGAACCCACGCATAGTGTTTGCTTTCACTGGGCTTGATGTTTACGTCCAAACTTATTTCGGCATTCATTGCAGCTGCCGCCAAAGACGCAGAGGCGGGTCGGGGCGCAGGGGACGACAAATCGGAAGCGGAGACTGAGTGGGGGCCAGTAGAGTGGATGATTGCCCACGTGGCGAGATGTTGTGGGCACTTCGTGTTTCTGTAAGTAGAAGGAAGTATCGAGTAATTATATGCTAGTGGAAGCTGCCCTAGTTAAAAGCAGCCAGTAAAACAATCATTATTGTTCTGAAGATAGCTGACTATGAGGACTCTAGTCGATTTGTGTGTTCAAACAGCTGGTACTTAACAGCTGTACAATAAGTCACGAAAACATTATTACTTCTGTTGAGCATGATGCAGGTATTCGTACACTTGCAAGCATCCAGAGTTCGATCTCTGCCTGGCTGCATTTGATTGTCTGCCGGGCTACTGTAATCTGCAAAATGTGAGAATGAAGGCCGCCTGGAAATGCGATGTTGCGAGTCCTGCTTTGCAGCTCTATCATTTCTTTGCTTATGCGCATTCTTTTCGACGTACGAGATCACCGTTAGACATCAAGGCACTCAAAACTACGAACGCCGCAAAGGACCAAACCTGAGAACTTGAGGTAGCGGGCGTGCTCGATGGCAAAATTGTTCGCGGCCAGCTCTATTAAGAGGTCGAATATTGATTGGTCGAGGCTCAAACGTACGCGCGCGCTTGCTTGTCCTTGAAAAACTTGTCCTCGAAGTGGCAGTGATATTTGTGAGCAGGTCAGATTAATCGCATGTCAAAAAAGATGATTAGGAATTTGACGGATTCGAGATGCAGTACGGAGTCCGGCCAATCTTCAGAAGTTTTTTGCCCGGGCAACGGCCAGCTTGATTGATCAACGTTGACCGAAAATAGACTATGTATACAAGCAAAGCCAAAAAAGACGTAAAGACGAAGTCACAGTTCTCCGTTACCAGTGCTCTTTACGAAGAATATGATTCATACCAGTTCTATATATCTATAAGTTTCATTCCGGTTTATGATTGTATGACGCGGCAGTGAAGGAAGAGAAAGGAACTCCATACGCAAGGGGAGTACGAAACAATGTCGTTCAACGGGCACTGAAATCTACATTGAAGTTTGAAATCTTCCAATGAAATTGTCGGGCCAGGGCAGCCTCCAGTCGGAAGACGACGTAAATGCTTTCTTCTACAACTCACTTTGATGAGAGGGTGACCCCGGATTGGAGCTCACTGCTAGTCTAGACTATAAACTACCATACTCTCATCTGAGGTATGGTGACGGTGTAATGACGTCAACTGCAATCGCAACATGCCCCGCAACATGCACTTTCTCTAGTACCGGTACTTTGGAATTAGGTACCTGCTGGATAGTAATAAAGTATTAGATAAACACGTGGCCCGAAGAATTTGACTCAGTGACAGGTTGCTCGAAATCAGGAAGAGATCTAGCCGTCGATCGAGGACTGGTATTTCATCCAACGATCGAGAATCAAGGATGATACTTGCGCGCGCGTCGCCATGAATTGGATGTCACAGTTCAGTCAGTGGACCTAGGCCGGCCGGCTCAGCCTGCAGCTCGATGAGCTAGTAATTTCGGCATGCATACTTGCAGAAAAATATAGTGCTTGCATTAAAAGCTGCTCGCAGAGAGACACATAATTGGATATCTGGCCCCAACCCGTCACCGTGACTGGTACTACAGTAGTATAAGTTAGGTTGTCATGTACATGTGCATATTGTACGAGAAGATATGGGATCAGATCTAGTGGGTCAATGCACCGTCGCAGCTAGCTCGCTTTTGTCAGATACTTACTACTGCGCAGACTGAGTCACTGACTCAGGTGGATAGCTGCTGGACAGCTTAAGTACTGCAATTTTATTTGTAGAACATGGTCGAGACATTGGGCGCAGGTGGGCGCAGGTGGGCGCAGGTGGATTCGAATAAGTGTTTGACAATATTGAAAGCCCTGTCCAATTATTGACTTTATTAGGTAAATATGAGAATGTCGACACAGTGCAGTTTGACAACCGGTCACGTGGTCGAGTACTGGCATGGCATGGGCTGCAAGTTGAGGGAATTTGCAAAGCGGGGTCAGCCTTCATGATCACGCGTCATTGCGTCACACAGCTGAGCCTTCAATGGTAGCGCCTGGGTGGCGGCTGAAGTAGCCTTGCTTTCTCAGCATTGATGAAGAACGCTGCCGCACAAGCTGGCAACCGGAGAGTAATCAAACCAAACGATAGGTGTTTCTTGTTAGGAGATCCTTGTGCTGGCATCCGAAGCAGGGCATGCAAGCGGAAGTAAACACCAAATCTCAGGGTCATACTCTGGCCGCATCTTTGCGAAGAGAAGAGCGTCGGAAGCAAAGATACTGTTGCTGGGGCATTGGAGTTAAGCACTGGGCCGCCTTTGGAAGATGAGTGGAAGAGGTCCTCAGCTCTCAGGAGTGATGCTAGTTTTGCTCAGACTTCTACACCTGCACTGATCAGGGTAAGTCTTCCTGCCTCCTTGTCCATCCTACAACACTGAAGAACTTATTCTTTGTAATCGGATCTTCTACAGCGAGTATGCATCGGAGTAACGACGATCCGTGTGTGTGCCATGCATCGAGGCAGCGCCCTTGTCCACTAGAGTCCAGAGCCAGGAAACATATGCTGCAGCCTTCTTCAGTCGGGTGGTTTACAGCCTGATATGACTGCAGGCTCAATCAAACGATCTGGCCCTTGCAACAGTCGCAAAGGTCACAGTCGATTCGTAACCCGAGGCGCACTTTGGCATCCTCTTGGTACCGTCACATTCGGACTCTACTCAGAGGGTGTGCATCTTCCTGCTCATTCTTGATTCTATTGCATCCCCGGTGCTTTGCAGGAGTAGTGAAGAATGAAGCATCGGAAGCTGGGGCCCGTCGGGCCAAGTGCCACGTGGCACACCCTCCTTGCAGCGATTGGCCTTGTCCGCCTAGTCTGTTTTGTGAGGCCAGCAGAGGGGGGCGTTTCTGGGCAGCCCATGTGCAATAGCCAGGCAAGTGTGGGGAGTACTTTCATGACGTCCACCATGACGACGCCCTTCTCCCCGGGTCACTCTCTGGGGGAGTTTTACGTGGACGAGGGAAGGAGCCTCATGTTCACCACGTGGAACAACGGGGTGAGGACACGTGTCGCCTCTATTGCCCTGCAAAATATACTGTGATGGATAGTTGCCTAGGTTAAAATTATCATGCAAGTGTTCCAATCAGGAGTAATTTGCTTGCTAACACTTCAAGAAGCAATGCCGCTGCGTTGAATCCGGTCCTAAACAAATGCACGCCGAGCTTTAGAAAGATGCAAGGAGCGCTGTACAACAAGAGACGCAAGCAGCAAGCTTCTGAGAGTGGTTGACACCTGTCTCGAAGCCTATGACAGCTGTCGCGATAGTAACTCTGCTCTGCATGGCACAGGTGTATAAGTTCCCGCTGTCGCTGGACGGGAGCTACTTGCCCACGTTCCTGTGCCCACAGGCGAAGTTAATGACCCTGAATTACCCCAACGCCAGCAATTTTTCGATCCCCTTGGCGCTGGACACAGCTCGGGGCATCCTCTTCGCACCAAGCGAAACAGGCGGCGCAACAACCAAGCCCATTTGGTATGCCATAGAGTACACAGGTGAGCAGAGAGAGAGTGCAATCTTACTTTCCAAAGAAATTTGTTAGTGGGCTGTTGAACAGAATGTGGTGGTTCGGACAATCATCAGCTAGTGTTCGCAAAGTGATCCAAAAGAGCCCTTGACGTCGAGAAGTCCATTGTCTTGCCTTTCATCCTTTTCCTATCGTTCGCCAGATTAAGTGAAACAGCGGCTCCCATAGAGCAGCAGCTTTCTAGAAGAAGAGCGAATCGCGTACAGTACTATCGGCTTTTGACATGCTTATATAGATCCTTTGGAGTTGACTTTGAGAATGTCATCAGCATGTAGAGCTTGTCTGCAGTTAAGGTTGAAACCTCGTTTCCAAACTCACCCCCCGCATCTCGAAGCCAATTGACTTGAAACATTGCATTGGACTCCGTCTCAGGAATGCAGGAATGCCAGAATGTTGGAGGCGGCGCGGCTTCTCACTCGCGCATTCTCCCTTGATGCAATGAGCCCCGTCCGCACGACGACGATGACGCACACGTCAACAACCTTCACGGGGAGCGGCAAGGGCGGCCCGCGCACGCTCGACTACGACCCGGTGAAGAAGCGGCTCATCACCGCGGTCCAGGGCGCCCCCGTCATTCTGCTGGACGTGACGTCACTCAGCGCGACCCCGGGCACAACCATAGTGGGCCTGGCGATCGGTACGAGCACAACGCAGGGGTGTGACTTCACTGGCGCTGCGCTGGACTTGGCCAACCGGGCAGCGAACTTTGTCGGGCAGCAGTATACGTCGTCCAAATTCTGGAGGTTCGGGGTAAGGACACTCCGATGGTCAACGCCCTTGGTAGATTCTAATCAGCTTGACGCACGGTTTGCTCGTCGTCTTGACTGCGAACTTCATTTGTGACTGCGCTCACTCCATGAGCAGCTACGGCTGCGTTTTCAGTGTATGTTTACTACATTCCGGATTTCTTCCCGCTTTTAGATCTTTGCTGAGGCTGTTTCGATCTTCACTAGCTCAGCTTATCAGGCTGATTTGACCTCAAATTTTCTGCAAGGCCGTTTTGACCTTACGAGATGGACGACTTAACCGTAAAGTCGCCCTGAACCGATCTTCAACAAAGCAACTTTTTTTGTGATTAATGCGAGAAGACCTGCAAGGTAATTTCGAACCAAGTTGCAAACTTGGAGCATCTTTGGATTCTCAAACGAGTGCTGTATCTGGTTCATATTCGGTCACGAAAGTGACGGCGTTGACTAGCTCAAGGTACCTTAACACTCGACTTCTGATTGCATACTTTTGCGGGTCGTCGCAATGGTATGGCAACGGGTTTGCTTTCGCGTTACCCCACTACAAACCATAACTCCACAGCCTACACGTGCAGGCAACATAGAATTAAATTTCAATGGTAACAAGGTCTAATAGTAATGAGAAACCGACGAGGACGGGTGGGGTTAGTCTGGTGGTAGGGTGGGTTCGGGTGCGGAGCGATCGAGTCATTTAGTGCTTAGGGTTTTGGTGTTGGTTAACCAGAAGATTCCTCTTCGTTATTGCTATTAGATCCTTCTTACTTCTAACGTTTATGGTTATCAGGCAACCCGCTGATCCAACCCCGCTTCCTGTGCAGTTTGCGACGAATGTCAGCCTGGACAACATCCACCTGACCAGTACTTGGCCCGCCTACTCGTATTATAGCAGTATAGACAGAGTTTTGTACAACCGCATACAAGTCGCCGTCATTCCCAAATCCCATATCTACGCGGCGAGACGTCACACGGACATGACCATCAACCTCACCCTCACCTCCAACCAAAAGTCGCCCGGCTTCGTCGCGAAGTAGGTTTCACAAGGTCTGATTAATCCATCAGAATGCTTTGGCAATGGCCGTGCGCGGAAAGCAACGTCAGTACACATCTGGCCCCCCGGCCGACAGGTTGGTGCCTGAAAGGCGCCACAATGTTTCGCACCAGATAGGCGTCAACGCCACACGCGGTTGACGCCTCTGAGGCTCTAGAGATGCCTTCGTAGAAAAACGTGACGCCCAAACGACACGTGCCTTTTAGTCGACTACCTTGCTTTAAGGGCAACCTGTTGTCATGTTAGATATGATAATTGCTTTGCGGCGTAGAACACTACAACACCCCCACACGAGCATGAGCGGTACCATACAGGCACCAATCTATCAGGGCAGGTACTTTTGAAGTCGGACATGGGCCGCTCGCAGGTTGCACTCAACCCTTTGATGCACGCATTGAGTGCGCTGAGAGTTGTCTTTCAAAGCAAAGCTCCGCACAGCATAGGCTTGCTGAGCTAAGTAGGGTGTTGCCAAGAGTCAGGGGTTCGAGATTAGCAGGAAGAATTGTGTACTAGGTGGAAGGACCCCGAGATCGAAACGCAGCGAGCCCTCAACCTGTGCGTGCTGCTCAGTTGACGGCTGTCGGCTCTTTGCAGGCGCGACTACTCAGGTGCGATGATTACCTACCCGCTGAGTGGTGTGACGGATATGGTCAACGGCATTGGAGTCGATCTCTTCACCCGCCAGTTGTACATGGCAACGTCGCAGCAGCTAAACACGTCTTACTTGGTGCCCTACGTAAGCTCCCCTTTGCAGCTCATGTTGGTGTGGGCCTTTGACAGCTGCCCTGTGAAGCTAAGTAGGAAAGCGCTCACTATAAATCGGTAACCCGTTTTGAAAGCGCTTTTAAGAGCGCCGAAGTGTATTCAGGTACGCGTTGATCTTAAAAGCGGGACACAAGTTCCAGTAAGCTTTGCTCTCAGATCTGAGGGCATTATCAAGAGCGTTCTAATCTAATAAACCGGACTTTTCAACTTAGGATTTGTCCTCAAATGTCATTAAGACCGCTCTAAATCGAGTTTGATTTACAGTGGCTGATGGTCGGGAGAGGTTGTTCATAAGCTCGATTTGCTGTGTCGGGAGTTCTTTAGGGCCTTTATCGTGTGTTGTGTTTGATCTCTGGCGTCGCTGAGAAACCAATACTCGAACATTTGACCGGCGGCCCCCTGAGAGGGCCCAGTCTGTTTGAAAACCAAAGTCCATCTGTCTATGCTGCATGGCAAATTATACGCGGGCTGCAGCTTGATAACGCCCTTCTAGATATTATATCAGCAGCCTGAATCCGTAAGAAGAGCCTGCCATGTCAGATGCCAAGATCAATGCAACTTGAACACCAGGTTTTGGACGCTTTGCAAGACAGTGACTGAAGCGCCTTTCCGTGCATTCTTTTGCAGGTCCCCTCAGGCCCGACTTGGTATCAAACCCGGCAAGTACGGACCGTTCAGGCGGCAGCTCATCAACGGCAACTACGGGCAGCTGCTGGGCCCCATCTGGCTCAGCAACACCACCGACATCGGCATCGCGTGGCACTCCAGTTTCGCCAACCCCGGGGGGGTCGATCTGGTCGCCTTCAAGCGCTACTCCTGCTGGAACGGCTCCACCCCCTGCGCGAGCATTTCCCTGGGCTACTGCTCCTGCCGGGTGCCCAACACGCCCTACCCGCTCTCGTACTACCAGCCCGTACAGCTGTCTTCGTGCATTGGGGCTACTCAGGCGAACAGCACAGCCAGCACCCCCGCTTACCCCACTTGCGAGTGGGTAAACCCCAACCCGCCCCCCGCGCCCAACCCGCCGCCCGCGAAGCCGCCTCCGCCGGATCTCAAACCCCCACCCCCAGCAAATTCCCCTCCACCGCCAAGAACCTTCCCGCCTCCTCCACAAGCCAACCCTCCGCCAGATGCTTTGCCTCCTCCAGTTGCGAATCCTCCGCCCGACGCTTTCCCCCCCCCCAACACCGCCCGCCCGCCTCCGGACACAGCCCCTCCGCCGCCTGATGCTAACCCGCCACCCAATTCGTTACCACCACCTGATAGCAATCCCCCGCCATATGCTATACCTCCCCCGCCACTAGCGTATCCCCCACCTCTCTCCGCTCCACCTCTTCCTAAAACTCAACCGCCACCGAATGCAGCCTCCCCCCCTCCGTCGAAATCGTTACCCCACCAGATACTGCGCTGCCCCCTCCACAAGCTTATCCCCCACCCGACCCGTCATCGCCCCCTCCAGACCCTTACCCCCCACCAGACACTTCTCCGCCTCCTCCTGATTCTTTTATCCCCCCCGACGCTGCTTCGCCTCCTCCAGACTCTTTACCCCCACCAGACACTTCTCCGCCTCCTCCAGACTCGTACCCCCCCCCAGACAATTCTCCGCCTCCTTCAGATTCTTACCCTCCCCCCGACGCTGCTTCGCCCCCTTTGGACTCTCACCCCCCCCCGGACGTTGCATCCCCTCCTCCGGATTCTTACCCCCCACCGGACACTGCTTCGCCCCCACCGGACACTGCTTCGCCCCCACCGGACGCATTCCCACCACCGGACGCCAACCCGCCGCCTCTCGACGCCTTCCCGCCACCCGACTCGTCTCCCCTCTTTCCGCCCCCCGACCCTTGCCCTCCCCCCTCCGACGCGTTTCCGCCTCCTTTTTGACGCGTTCCCCCCGCCCATTGCCCTCTTTCCCCCGCCCAGTTCGCCAAGCCCAAGCCCGTTCCCC